AACTTATTTTAGAAAAAATATATAGGTGTACGGTCTTGTATGTATACAAGTACTATATCAGACACACATATTATTAAAGTTAAAGCCATTTATTACCTGCTCTGAAAGTTTTTTGCAACTAGTTAGCGCTCGTTAGCTAACGTTTCATTTATTCTTCCACTTGAGCCAGTTTCCAACTCAGAACGAACAACTCAATATAAGCTTTCAGCGACGTTTTAAATATGACTCAGTTCATATAGATGTCAATTTATTACCTACTTCATTCTATAAACTTTATACATAATTTAATACTAAATACTTAGTAGTTGTTTAAAATATATTATGGATAATTTATTTTAAAATGCTTTATTTCGAACTAAGAGTAGTTCATAGTTATATTTTAAACTGCTATAGTACCTGACTTAGGTTTTAAGAATTTACTTTAGCTGATGATTTCGTTGAATTATCATTCTCGTAAGTTTCTTGGCAAGTCTTTTCAGGGTTCCGAAACAAAAAGATATATTGAAATCGTTATAGTGGATTAGGCCGCTCGTCCTTTTGTCACAGTGATATAGTTTAGTTATTACACATACTATCAATTTGAAATATGGATTATTTCTGAATATTGTTGGCCCAATAGTAATGGAAAATGAAGATTTAATAAAATGTCTTTCTTTAGAGCCTGCAATAGAATAGAAATTTCAAAATAGTAGTATATTGACCACGTTCCATAAAAATATACATTTAGTTTAATTCCATTAATTAATGAAAATTATGTTATATAACTATTTATAATAACAAGAAAGAGACAAGCAGCAAGTAAATTATCATACAATAGTTTTTCGTATACAGACGTTAATCTCAATTGAGGAGCCTGTTACAAGGTACGGGCCCATAGTTCTCACAGTTAAGTTTAAATAGCTCATATAAAGGGCGATTTAGAAAATAATTAATGTTGGTGGGCCAGTGTGTGAGACGAGTTAGGTAACTGGCGGCGTGAGAGAGCGAGACTCGGCGCGCGCCGGCACCACTATTGATCGTGGGGAATGACGCCCGGGGTGACCCAAATAGAGCCTCCGTGCACCCTCCACCCCAAAGCGAGCGCCCCTCGCAACCACCCACCACCCGCTGGCCGCTCGACGACGAATTTTCATATCAGCCGGTCCTTCACAACGAAGGAATGGCCCGCTGCCTCTACTCTGATACTAATGTCTTATATAATAGATCAAGAACGCCCTGTTGAATTATCTCCGCTTAAAATCTCTTTGTCCTTTTGACATTTGACATCTGTTGTGCAGACGCTTTCTATACGCTTTTGCCCATTAGGAGTTCTTCAGAAAGTTAAGGTTACTTGTCCGAGAACAACGGGACGGCCTTTGGGGAGTTTCACCACGTTTTAGAAGTTTAAGTGCTTCAACTGAAAAGTTTCGAGGTCACTTTCACCACGGGTTTCATAGCTTAGGCAATGGGGTGATAATAAAAATGTTAACACAAATAATGTGACGCTGATAGAATATTTAGTTTATTATGTTCTATATACATATAATACACCTACAACACGCAGGGGGAGCAGGCGTAGTAACTGACCTATGCCTGGGAAACACCCGGCCGCAGCAAACCAGTGCATGCGTACATTTCACTTTATAACTGACAATTTCTACTCTAAAAAATCAATAAGATATGTATTATGTTTTAATGTCATTGTAGGATTCTATCGACCTCTTCGAACTATACAGGCTGGTATCTCTAATAATATGTAAAAGTCAGTCATATCAGGACACTAATAGAAAGTTAAATGTATGAAAAATATAGAATAATAAAATTATTTATAGTTACTTTCAACGACTTCTGTACTTTATAAACTTTGGACCAGAGTCGGTTTATATAAGACTAGTAGAACAAATAATTTCTCAATTCGACTCTTATTTTTGTGTATTCTGTTACCTGACCTTTCACCAGTATTGAACTTATTTTGATATATTGGCTTATTTTTGTAGTATGTTTGATTTTTTTTCTCACCTGCGTCTACAAGTTTTGCAACGTTTGCTTAAATGGTAAAGGTAGAGTTAACATAAAATGGTTTAAAAAATCATAAGGGCTCCTATAGATACACATTTTCGTTTAGATACTTGATTAATTTGAATACAAATAAACATTACTATGAAATTGAATTAATTAATGTATTGTTAAAAATATGCTTTGAATCGAGTGAAACAATGAAGAGAAAAATCCTTTTGTTTAGCATTTCAATTCAGACTGGGTAAAATGAAAAATACACTCATAGCGAGGGCACGACGGACGCTGAAATTGAAAAGTGTGCAACTTTATGTTTTATTGTCTTGCAACCAGCCATAGTACCACCAGGGGACTGAAAATAAAACCGCTACAGCGCTTTTAATACTCACAATGTATATCTCTATAAATTGCATACAATGTGGCTGGCTTATATTTGCGCTATACCAACTAGTGGCAACTGATATTACAAGCTCAGCAATACCGCATTCTATTAAGCTTTTAAAAGACATTTTACTTGGTAATAAATGTTCGCAAGGTCAATAGGGCCTTTTAATATTGCATTTTATGGACGTCCCTGTCGTTGGGTAAGTCGCCCTTTTCCTCCGCATAAAAGTTCGATATCTGAATTACGTGCCCAAGTGGTGTGGGTTTCGGGCCGTAGGACATTTACCGATGGTGATACGTCTAAATTTGCTGACGTATAATTACGCCGGACCAACGTCAAGTAGCGGAAATTAATACCTGACAGGTGGCGCGCCCGACGCCCCGGAAACGTATTCGCCATCTACCTACTTCCGCTCCCTTCGTTATTTTCACTTCGATTGATAATAATCATATAGAACAAAATTTGTAAACACTGCTGATAACTTTATCAGCAGAAAAGAATAGAATAGAATAGAAAATTCATTTGTTTCTCCGGAAACGGTGTATAGAATTAAACTCAGAGAAACAAACGCAGTTTTTTATATAAAATATTTGTAGATAGAACTACAATAAAGAAGTATTACGCAATAATAATAATTCTAATAAAGAAGTATTACAATAAAAATATAAAATTTTTATATTAAGAAATAGTATAGAACGTTGAATGTGTGATGATCTGGTATTAATTGTAATCTACTTTAAAGAGCTGGGCTTCACATGTATGTGGTCACATGTATATATTTTAATCACGTATCTCTGCACAAAATAAAATTTAAATTACTTATTTAAGCCCGTCATACTCGTAGATATATATACTTATTCTTATACAATGTCCCTTATTACAGTTTCCTCTAATCTCAACAGAAGTTTCAAATCTCCTCGTCTAAACATGCTTTATCGTGAAGTTCTTTCGTTCACGTCTTACTCTCCAGTGGGAAGAAGCCCACTGATTTCTATCAAACCTCTCTTCTTTAAGTAACCTTAAGTACGAATAAATAACGATTTTTAAGTCACAAAAATCAAATATGTCAAAAAATATGTTCTGACGGAATATAATTTTATTCCTGTTCTATTCGAATAATGACAGAATTAAATTAAACCTGTTTTACACTTCTTTAAAAGGGATATAATAATTATTAGATAGAACAATTATGTTATCAAAATATTATTTTAGCTTTAAAACAACTTATTTTAACAACATACTTAATGTTGTTGTTAATATCCTTATTTTGGGTCTTAAAAGATAAAAAATAATAAACCGAGGCGTAAAATTGTGAGTGCTGTCTAATTACATCTTACAATATATTTTTCCTCTAGAAACCGACTAAGTTTCTTTTCCTCTTTACGCTATCATTTCTTTTATCAGTTTTTGTTATTGGTAAACTCGTATATTTCGCGTGACGGCCTGTCCTTCTTAAATGGGATCCATCATTACCTATATGCGCACAGTACCTAATATATAAAGTAGAGTTGAACTGCGTGCGGCACAGCCAGCGCAGCTGTAATTTATAGTATCGATTTTCTGAACAAATGCATGGATGCGTTGCAGAAATTGTGCGCGATATTTCCTTGATAGACATTTAGGTTTGTGACTTTTGTATAAAAGAATTTTAAATGGGCTTACCTACCCATATAATTGAAATCCCTAAGGTGTGGATAATTTGAGGTTCAGATTTTTCCACATTGCTATTACTTTTCGGACAAAGGATTTAATGGACCCCACATAATACGTCCAAAGCCCCTTTCTGGTTGTAATGCGGCTTTCTATTCCTCCATGGTGAGGTAATAAATTTCGCGCGTGTTCCAGAAGGCGAGACTTGCGGATTTAGTTCGCGGGAATAACGGCCACTTCAGGGCCCTCTAGTAATAAAACATTTACGTCTATCATTTATTTATATTCGAATGTTATGACATTATCATAATGCAAATGCAATAAAACGGCACAGAATATATTCACTGGCAATAAAATATTCTCTAGACATTGTAATGCAAACGATATAACCAAGTTGCATTTTTATAATATTTGCCATCCTTTGGAAATGATACATATAGATTTACATTGTATTGCATCTTATCACAATGTCTTTAAATTACCTTTTAATTGTATCTTAAGTAACGTATAGATAGGTAAGCGCTTCGAGTCACCCTTACAGATAAGGAAGTCTGCCAATATTCAATATTACATTAGGGGTGGGCCTATCAGCGAGACACTCGGCCGTCCGCCCTATCAAACATATGCCTAACATAAAGATTACGGTACTGAACTTTTAGTTGACGCAAACTCTGTTACGTACAACGTCTGCCTAACAATCGCCACGTAATGTAAACGTAGCGCCAGTATACTCTGATTATGATATTTTGGAATTGCTTATATGTTGACGAAGTGACAGCCTGCATCGAGATATAGTTTAGGGAAAGGCTGTCAATGTACCCGTTGTGGAAGGTTACGAGCGGACGGGCGCGGCGGCGGTGGCACCAGCGGAGGGTGCCATGCGCGGCGGGCTGCGCGCGACGGCCGCGGCGGCGGCGGCGCTGGCGTCGTGACGCAGTGTGACGTCAGTGCGCCGTCGGCTCAATACGCGCGGACCCCGCCGTCAGTCGCCGCCCGACACTGGCCGCCGAGCGTCGCGCCCTTAGCGCCTTTGCCACCCGCGCTCTTTCTCATACCGGGTTTTAGTTTCGTACCACGATGACATAGCCCCAGTGCCGTGACACGAGACTACGTGAAAGCGCACACAATTTTAAGTTTTTTCGTTAGAACGAGGAAACCGTAAAAGGTCCCCCGTTGTTACAGAACTAGCGACGAACCACCCCACTCCGTTGAGGGACAGAGGCGAGACCAAGAGGCGGCTACCTCCTTTTTATCCGCCTTTTTCATAAAGACTAGCGAAAATGGGCGAGGTGAGTGCAGTGCTTGCTGTAGTGCCTTACCTTAGCCTTTCCAGTAGCAAATCTTTGCGGGACAGTGCTTTCGTGAAGGTGAAGTGCATGTCGGGTATAGTGAGTGCGGAAGGTAATGATGAAGGAGTCTCCAACAGCCGAGCAGTGATCGTCTGCTTGTGAAAAGTGCTTGCTTTCTCCAGGGCACGTCCCCTATGTCGTCTCACACCAGAATTTGCACGTTCATCCTCTTTGTTCTGCTGTCACTACAAATGTATAGAAGTAGAATGCGCACAAAGAAATCAGACCGAGAACATTCTTTTTTTTTTCATTTTATATTAAGAAGAATTGAAAGTCTATAAGGTTAAAATGTTTAATTTTCGCACTCATTACCTGTGATATATTTTCATCTTATTTGTTCATTTTAATGTAGTAGTTTAATCTAGTATTATATGGATTATACAATTTGATAGATAGGAAAATAACTAGGAAGTAATGTCAGGAGACGGCGCCGGCTGGGTTGCGTAACTGTGCGGTATCGATCTGTGCGGGGAGCGAGACACTCCGCTTGGTCTTTCATGTGACAGTGCAGGATCAGTTCCTTTGAGTAATTGAATTGAAATAGCATTAAAAATTGCTAACAAATACTGTTAATCGATATAGATTTAATCTAGCGTATATGAAACTATAATTGGATATCAATTTTAGCCATCTACTTTTTTATATATGATTTTTTTTGTGAGAGAGATTTTAATAATTTTTCTTGCAGTTTGCGATATGGCTTTAGCTATTTGTACGTGCCTTTAAATGAATTAAAATTATTTTAATTAATTATGTAATTTATAAATTAATATTTTATTCTAATATAATAGAACAAAGAGATGTCGGTCGTAGCCCAGTGATTCCTTTAGATCGAAAGGTCGTGAGTTCAAATATAGCCGACAAGCTTTGTGTTAGTTTATATTTAGAATTGACTCTGCGGTGATGAAAACACCGCTAACAAACCATCCAACTAATAAGAGAAACTGCGGTAGTCTGGTTTCCTGCTATATTAGAATTGAATACACCGAGCGAAATGTGGGTATGTCAATTGCTGCTGTTATAACGACATAGACAGTCGAAACAACCTCTGGCTACCTAATCGAGAATTAAGTGTAGTCGTGAATGTATATTATTATCATAAATGATTAAACAATTTATTTTAATAAAATGATCTTTCATCCATAACCGAACTGAACTTTATGGCAACATGGTTAAAAACGGGCGGGTACGGACATAACAATTTTTTTATATAAAGTTCAAACTTGCACATTTGATTCAAACCTAAGCGGTAATTATTTAAGACATTCATTATATCAACGTTTATTTGTTACCTCTTAATACTACAAATTTTAAAACTAGGTCATTTATGTCCACTCACCTTTTGGTCAGAAATAAAAAAAATTATAATAGTTTTGATTTTATTTCCAAATTTATGTACTAAAATTTCATAAAAAGAAAGAAAATATGTTTATGCAATACTGTGTGTATTACAACAGTAAAGAAATACTTAAATTATAACATATTAACGAATATCTGACAATAACCGACAAACGGACAAAATATGATACCGTGAAATTTTATAAAATATTTTTCTTTCTTTCTTTCGTTCTTTCTTTCTGAAATGGGTATGATAGATATATTAGGGTAGATATATTACAAGAGCAGATATTTCTTACAATTATTTAAAGTCTGCGCAGTTAATGAATTCTTTATAGACAGAGGGATATGGTATCCGTTTATTTTATTTTTTTATTACATAATAGTTTATTATATTACCCATTGTAGTCTTTGACCTGCTTCTTACTAGGTGTTCTGAAGGAAGTAGGTAACAGGTTGTCGCGGGAGCGAACCGTGGTTCGGACACGAGAACTATAAGAGCACCGAAGGTTTATTAGAAAATTGCTTCGTCATTATGTCATTTAAATCGCATAGAGTACTGTCGCTCTATTGGAGTATTTCCTTTATCCTTTATGACGACAGTACGCATCAATTAGGATGCTAGACGGTCCTTGGGGGATATTTCTAAGGTACATAATTATCTAATTTACGACATCGCTAAGCTACATCTTACATATTTTATTTATTGTACACCATTTCAAGCACATATCCAAGTATATTATGTTCGTAGCACTTTATGACAGCAATACATTTAATTAATTGACGCCAATATTTCATAATTGGTTACATCAGGAACAATTAGATGTATATAAATATTTCCTTTATCCTTTTTGACACCAGCACCTATACCTATTTAATATAAAACTTACCTATAGTTTATATATTAACTCTTTGTATTATTAATTAGTTACATAGCTTTTTACATATTTTTTACCAGCGGTCTACTACAGAACCTTTTGAGTAGAAGAAATCGTAAAGAATATTGGATAGTCCTGCAATTACCATCCTCGTCTTGAACAATAAAGTAAACTTATTTGTTACTCCAATCACATTAAAAAGTATTACATACATAATTACATAAGTAAATTGCAATTATAGAATGCCATCCAAGATGATATTGCTTATGATATAAATTGAAATATGTATAATAATTTATAAAAAACAATAATTAACAGAATATTTACATCTTTTAATTCATTGCTAAATAACTAGCAATATCTTTTATATATAATTTAATATGCTCAATATGGATTATATAACAGACTTTAATCTCATACATATTTTAATTTCTCAGATCGCAAGTACTGCAGATACGAGTTTAGGCTACAGTAAAAAAAAAAAGAAAATTTATGTTAAATCGTTTTATACTTGGTAACCCTAATCTTGAGTCTGTCATGGAATATTTCATCATAACGACATCATTGTAGTAGTTTTTACATAGATATGTAATTGAAACAATTAAACTGTTTAGGGCGGCTTTAAATTTTCAATTCTTCGATTGTAATTAAAATTTTACTTCCTCTAGAAATTATCTTTATTTAAATAAACGAAATTTAAATATATTTTTGTTTAATACAGATATATAAATGTAAAATTCTTTTGGTTATTTAACGTTTTAATAATATTTATTACTATATATTTTGTGTCGAAATCTTAAGCGTAATCGCCTCTTATCACATCACGGAGATGAATAAGAGTAGTGACACGTATTATAATATCTTATGACATACAGACAATTATGCAAGCATTCATTATAATAAAAATCGAAAATTCGGTTCTAAAATTTTCTTAATGATTATGAAACTAGTTGAATTCTGAAATTAGTGTCTTTATGCACTATTTTTATCCCGGTTAACAAAAAATATATAATAAATTACAACAGTAATGAAACAGTCAATATCTAATAGTAAATAATTATTTTATTATAAAACTTTAGCAAACTTTTAGCATTGTGAGCAAAAGAAGTATCCCAGGACTCGACTCAAAACACGCCTATAATTATTTCATTCATTCATTCCTTCATTTACTACGATAGTATCCACTAAATTTCGGTGATAACTAGTTTCGTCAACAATGTCAATGAAACTTTAGCCTTCTCTTGACTTGTATATACAGATATATTTAGAGTTATTGACTAGAGACTAGAGTTGATTGGCTGACATTTTAATAAACGACACATTTAGTATATGCAATTTTTACAATTGGCTCTCTCCTGAATTATTGATATGGAGTATTCGGGGGAATAGTCATCTTCATCAAAACGGTGTTTGACATTTTAATATTTGACATTGATTTACATAGTATTACAGTAATAAATCACACATAGCTCTTTGTTAAAAAATTAAATCGAATCCTAATTTTTATTATTAATATTATATTTTATGTCCTTGTGTTTGCATATTCAGCATGCTATATCTAGTACAAAAACAAAATGACCCCACTTCTCTTTACGATTTGGTTGCAAATACGACTATAAAAGAGACAGGCATCTCCTTTTGACATATTTTCCGTGACTGGAGACCTGTTTCATTTTGAATTGTCACTAAAGCCCACCTCGCCCCTCGCAAACTGTTCATGTTTGAGTTCAGACGGAACTGGTTTCGATTTTTCATCAGATATTCCGGTTTAACCTTTATAGAGATTATAAATGCGGTCTCCAGGGCCTGGGGGTGGTAAGTGGCAACCTTGTCTTTAGCTATTTATGTCGAAGGTACCGAGTGGGGGATGGTCCCCAGTGCGCATGCCCGGCGCGCCGCCGCTTATGTAACACGACGGACCACGCCGCCGCACGTCTGTCTCTCCAGTTAACACGATCTTATCCACCGCCCTCTGTCATATGAATATTGCATCACCTCCGCCTTCCACATTCGGAGGCCGGCTTAGAGCCCCTTAATTAAGTTTCATACAGATTAGATCGTGCCCTTGTTCGTAAATAGCCGAAATCTATTATCTAACTCGTCGTGTATAATTTATAAGCTTTTGACTTTGGCATCATTTAACCGCAATCATTTTGATGGTAAATTTTCCACCGAACGCCACACTTATTCGTGTGATGTCCTTGGATGGAATTCAGGGCGCGGTCTAATGATGCCTGTATGAAAACGTTGATCAATTATCGACGGCGACGACTGACTTGTTCGCAGCAGCGTGGACGCATTTAGACGTAACGACATTGCGCCCTTATTGCACACAATGCGAACGTTACAAATACAACACACGCCGAGTCCATGTTCAGTTCCGGGCGATACGTAAATATAGCCACAAATCACCCTCGGGACAGGTGCAAATTTAATATTCGCAGAGATGATGTCGTTTCTGGAACATTCCTTTTCATACCTAATTAGCATTTCCGCACAAAATGGTTTACCATCTCATGTTTATATATTAGTAACTTTTACCCGTGACTTTAATCTTTGCGGATAGATAAAATGTCTCCGTTGAATATACCAGAATTTAGGATCTGATGTATTTTTTTAAAAGTAAATATTTAAAATATTGTAAATTGAATACGACAAATGCAGACACATATAAAACAGTACAGCTAAAAAATAAGCTTCCAGAACTAAATAGAACAAATTATATATTAATTTATGTACTGTAGATATAAGTACATTAAAATACCTGATATTATGAATCCAAAATTTAAGACTTCTCTATCTAAAGAATAGAATAAATCTACAAGGAAGCCAAAAAATTTTTATTTTATTTTTAGAACATAAACTTTACGTACGTTTAGTGATAATATAGTAGGTATAATTTATCTCTCTGTTAATCATATATTAATTAATATATAAATGTTCTAAACTACAACATTGTCCTACATGTACTGGGTGAAGTAATTAAACACTAAATATATACAATAATAAATAAGGACAAGCTACTTATTTTACCTAATAATTATATAATTTATACAATTGTAATTTAATATTTTGAGAGTTCATGTCATGTTTCTACAGGAAATTTATAATTTCCTACCCAACAAAATATACAGTTCACTGAATTCGAAAACGTCAGTGTAATTTCCACAGAATCATTCTTAATTGAGAATGCCTCTGGCTAGCCTATATAGGATAAAACATTCAAGTAGAATACGTTTTTTATCTTCAACAGGTTCAATTTTAGGAAATACTACTTACATTTAACTATATAAATAAAGAAACATTCGTATAAGTATCGATGTTTGCATTGCCCTTGCCACCGCTCTTGAGTTTGTATGCGTAACGAAACCGTATGTATCAATTGAGTGTCATCGAGCAGTGGTCCCCAGGGTATACCTACGCCCGTCAAGGTTATAACCGCGTGTTCTATTGTTGTATGCTAGCCATACAATCCCCTTCACAGTCTCCTATACATTTATTTTATAGACCTATTATGTAATTTACTCTTTACAGTCGATTTAGCTAATGTTGCAGTAGTTTTGTACTTCCTCTTTTATCACGTCGTAATTGTTTTTATTTTTTGCAATAATTTCTAAATTATTTATTGTTGAATGCAATTATTATATAAGTTTCGAAACACTTCCTTTTTTGCATCGATATAGCATGATTTTAATCTTTTACTTATATTTTATACTATACATCATTATCTTGATTTCATTCATTATCTGCAACTCTTTTTTTTATAAATCGTGCTGTATCGTTATTTGTCACCATCTGCCATAATTCATAATGCATGACCCATAGGGTCCCTAGTAGAATGTGTCTAGCTCCTAGTTGTGTTTGCAGCATGGCCGTACCGACTCGTACCGCGTCGCAACCATCGGCCCCATTAAGGACGATAATAGAACCGCTGACGGACAGTACAAGGTTTATATTTACATTACCATCTTTCATTTGATGTTTCAAAGTGAAGATTGACGCCAGCACTCAGTGTATAAAGCGCGGCAATCAATCGTCGCTTGATATTGCATGTTTTTTTACCTCATACTATTATTTTAAAGTTTGCTATAACTTTGTTTATATTTTCCTTTCTTGATTAAACATAACGAACATTAAAATGTTAAAATACTTATGATGTGAAATTTTTGGTGGTGGAAAATAAATTATTAGTTTTAATATATTTATACGTTATTTTTAATGTGTTTACAGACACGCCGAAAACCCCCCGCGAAAAAACGGAAAACAGGAGATTTAGATGATCTGAAACAGGAGTTGGACATTGACTACCACAAAGTAACACCCGAGGAACTATACCAAAGATTTCAGACACATCCCGAAAATGTAAGTAACTCACTTTTACCTAACTTCATTAACACATTAGTCAAGATTCTATCATCTTATTGTAATGTATTGGAAATAAAGTTCTTTCTTTCTATTCCTGTTGTAACAATATCAAATACGTATCTTACTAAAATTTGAGTATTCCTGACTCTGTAATGTAATTGGCTGTAATGTTTCAGGCTATATGACGATTAAAAAAAGGTTGAATAGTTTCTTTTATTGTAATAGTTTTCTTTCACTGTCGTACCACCCGAGGCAACGATAGAATTCAATCTTATCAAGTCAAATTGTGTTGAAAGATTCTTTAGCCTATTCTATGCTTCATAAATTTTATAATATTCCATTTCATTACAATATTCATTTTAATCTTCCATAATAATAAGAAGGATATTACGATGTACAATCTTTGTATTTCAGGGCCTTAGTCACGCAAAAGCGAAAGAAAACCTCGAAAGGGACGGTCCAAATGCGCTTACACCACCAAAACAGACACCCGAATGGGTGAAGTTTTGTAAAAATCTGTTCGGCGGTTTCGCGTTATTACTTTGGATTGGTGCTATTCTATGCTTTATTGCCTACGGAATTCAGGTCAGTATTATGCTATAATTAAATAACAGTAACATGACTAATTTTAATAGATGTTATACTTACGAATATTGGATGAACCTGGTAAATGTGTGAATCAAACAGGCATAACTGTATACAATGCTTGGGATTTGTTGTATTACAAGCTATTTAAGTTGCTGAAGAAAGTTTAATTTAATGAATACGTACACAGCAGTTTACCAATTACGGCTAACCATTGTAGCTTATTTTTTTTATATGTGCCTATAGGGTCCTAAAAAGCAGTTTTAATAAAATAGACCCAATATAGGACCAATGACACAAAACCCTCGAAAAATATAAATAGTTTACTTCGATATCACATTATTTGAGGACGAAAAGAGACTACTTCCTTCCTTTTCATTTGTTTATTTGTAACTAAAGTGTTGTCTACTTAATCTATTTAACTGCTTTTAAAACATGTGTACCAGTTGATTTGCTTCAAAACTGAAGGAGCCATACGAACTGGACAATAGGGAAGTGATAGTGATATTAAAATGCATGTATTTAATTCATAGGTCACAAATACGATATTCTAGCATCAATGTATATATCTAAAACTATATTCATAAAGAATGTGATTACAGGCTAGTACCGTAGAGGAACCAGCGGACGACAACTTGTACCTCGGCATTGTATTGGCGGCTGTAGTAATTGTGACGGGCATCTTCTCATACTACCAAGAAAGCAAGTCATCAAAGATCATGGAATCGTTCAAGAACATGGTGCCACAGTTCGCTACTGTCATACGTGAAGGCGAGAAGTTGACGCTGCGTGCTGAAGATCTTGTGCTTGGTGATATTGTTGAGGTAATTACCAACAACAAAAAAAATTGAGTTTCTCAATTTGAAAAACTATACCATCTACCATTTTGACTATACTCTTTTATTGAAGTAAAGGAAGGAAGAATTTGTAGAAAGGGAAATCCGACATTTTTATTATATTACTTTTTATTATATAAAAGCATTCTTGTGAGTTCATATTTCTGATCCACTTTCAGATAATGGATTACACCATTAACAAACCTAGAATAATATTATAGATATATATTTAAATAAATTCAGCAACTACACTCTGCGACTCTATTTATATTCATTCATGACTATACAAATACTCATATCTCAAAAATGTATATAGATATACAATAATACTACCAGTTCGAGTACGGCATCCTACATGTATGGTATTGGAACACAGAAGGGAGGGCCGTATATTGTAGTGTGCTGATGGTTTGCGTATTTGTTAGGAAACTGTTTACACGGTCTGTGTTTACACGGTAATAAAGAAGCATAAAATAAAAAAATATTTGAAGGTGAAATTTGGTGATCGTATCCCGGCTGATGTCCGCATTATCGAGGCGCGTGGCTTCAAAGTAGACAATTCAAGTTTGACCGGCGAATCGGAGCCTCAGTCCCGCGGAGCTGAATTCACTAATGAGAACCCATTGGAGACTAAGAACTTGGCATTTTTCTCTACCAACGCTGTTGAAGGTACCGCTAAGGGCATCGTTATCTGCTGTGGAGACAATACTGTGAGTATATTTTTAAAACTTCACAGAACTGTTTTTTCTATAATAAATATTTCATTACAGCTGTCAAAGTAAGAGTAATTTTTAAATGTCCATTATTTATTCATTAGGTTATGGGCCGTATCGCCGGCTTAGCTTCTGGCTTGGACACTGGAGAAACGCCAATTGCAAAAGAGATTCACCACTTCATCCATTTGATCACTGGTGTAGCTGTGTTCCTTGGCGTTACGTTCTTCGTCATTGCCTTCATTCTCGGTTACCACTGGCTCGATGCTGTCATTTTCCTTATTGGTAAGAATTTTTATTATACAACATTTTTTAATGGACAAAAATCAAACGGACTAAATATTTTTTTCTAAGGTTGCCTATTTTTTTTTACTAATAGTAACTATATAATTTTTAATCCTATCGAGAAACCATGAAACACAATTGACAGACAGACGAAAAAGTATAAATAACGTATTTACTAATTTTTTAATATTTTTTCCTTTTTTGATAAAAATTTTATGTAGTGTGCATTATTAAATTATAAAAAAAGAAACAAATTTTAAGAACCATTACATAAATAGATGTTTAGTAATCATAATAAATTACATATTATTAATACCTACCTATATATTATTTTTACAGGTATCATTGTAGCCAATGTACCCGAAGGTTTACTCGCCACTGTGACCGTATGTCTGACCTTGACTGCCAAACGAATGGCTTCCAAGAACTGCCTGGTAAAGAATTTGGAAGCTGTAGAGACGCTCGGCTCTACATCAACTATCTGCTCTGACAAGACCGGCACCCTCACCCAGAACAGAATGACGGTAGCTCATATGTGGTTTGATAACCAAATCATTGAAGCTGACACTACTGAGGACCAATCTGGAGTACAATATGGTAAGTAATCCATTTGGAATGGCAAAGAAGCTAATATTCCAGATCTTCTTAAGAACCATGATATTCTCCGTGCCGTGTAATTGCACTGTCCTATCGGTTCATTGTTCAAACTAAAAAACAGTGACACAGTTATAAATTTGTACAAAATTTTCGTCTACTCTGTACTTGACGAAAATTACCGACGGCAGTACCGTTCAAAACTGCAAAATGACATGTATGAAAATATTCACAGAGTATAAGTGTAAAATATTTGTTTGCAAAATAAAAATTATAGTATATAATAGATTTATTGGTATATTCATATAATCCAAGAGTACATTAATGGACCTGGTCTCTGTTCACGATATAGCTACAGAATTTATATTATTATACTTCAAAAACTTTTAAGTAATAATAAATCTAATTGAACGTTCTCAGACCGCACCAGCCCCGGATTCAAGGCACTCGCCAAAATCGCAACCCTCTGCAACCGCGCTGAGTTCAAGGGTGGTCAGGATGGCGTGCCTATCTTGAAAAAGGAAGTCGCTGGCGATGCTTCTGAAGCTGCACTGCTCAAGTGCATGGAACTGGCTCTCGGTGACGTTTTGTCTATCAGGAAACGTAATAAGAAAGTATGCGAAATTCCCTTCAACTCGACCAACAAATACCAGGTCTCTGTTCACGAAAGTGATGATGCAAGCGATCCTCGCCATCAGCTAGTGATGAAGGGCGCTCCTGAAAGAATTCTGGAACGCTGCAGCACTATCTTCATTGGTGGCAAGGAAAAGGTAAGTGAGATCAATTATTTAAAGTGTTAATTTATGTAAAAATTTCAAAATACAAAAATAATTGGTAGTTTTATAATGTACTGGTACCAAATTATAAAATACACTTTTACACTGCGGGTTGTAGCACTGATGCGGTCAATAACTTATAGCAATGTTTTTGAAGTCAAAGTGTAATAGTAAAAAAATACATGTTCGCATTATGAATTCTTTTGTTGAACATCACTAAGCTCTCGGAATTATGCGTCTCACTCACACCATGATGTAACGCGCGTACTAAACTGGTTTAAGTTGTATAAAAGCTTTATCAAATTTTAATTTACAATACTAGGTCTTAGACGAAGAAATGAAGGAGGCATTCAACAACGCATATCTCGAACTTGGCGGTCTTGGCGAGCGTGTACTCGGTTTCTGCGATCTGCAGCTGCCTTCAGACAAGTATCCCATCGGTTACAAATTCAACACGGATGACCCTAACTTCCCCTTGGACAATCTGCGTTTCGTCGGCCTGATGAGTATGATTGACCCTCCCCGCGCTGCTGTGCCTGATGCCGTTGCTAAATGTCGATCAGCTGGTATTAAAGTGAGTTGAATAACATTTTCTTTATATTTTTAGCAACTACGCTACTTTGCTATATAATAATGTGTTCGATTCCTGCATAATAGATTTCATTTATAATTATAGCCGTAGTGTTACTTTTTCTGTGGGTCCAGAATTTCAATTTTTATTCCAGGTTATCATGGTCACTGGCGATCATCCTATCACAGCTAAGGCTATTGCGAAGTCCGTCGGTATCATCTCAGAAGGCAACGAGACTGTTGAAGATATCGCCGCCCGACTGAACATCCCGGTATCGGAAGTGAATCCCCGCGAAGCTAAAGCCGCTGTAGTCCACGGAACTGAACTTAGGGAGTTGAACTCTGATCAGTTGGATGAAATTCTCAAGTAGGCTATATTTTCTCTTTTATTATATGTAACTTGAACAGACTCTTAGCCTGAGTTCTTTCATGTGTTTCTCGCAATAATGTTCACCGGTATCTCATTACACACTGTATAGTCTGCTCTTGAAACACTCGTATATATACATATGTATACATATATCTAAGAATCAACTAGACTTCCCAAAATTCTTTATCATTTTGGGCTGTCCAAAATAATTAGTACAAGTCAGCTATTAAACTAACGTACTGTGTAACTACCATACAGGTATCACACTGAGATCGTATTCGCCCGCACATCACCACAACAGAAGTTGATCATCGTAGAGGGTTGCCAACGTCTCGGCGCTATAGTGGCTGTCACCGGCGATGGCGTTAACGACTCTCCCGCTCTGAAAAAGGCTGACATCGGCGTGGCCATGGGTATCGCTGGCTCTGACGTATCTAAACAGGTACTTTTGTGATTTGGTAACAAATTGTACTCTGTATGTGCTAATAAGTCTATAAAATATGATAGCTACGATTTAGTTTAATTGCATACATTGAAGCTACATGTAAAGATCGAGACTGATAAATACTATTTAGGGAAGAGAAAGTGAATGTAATAGGTCTCCAGAATTGACTTGGAGAAGTTATATAATGTAGACGAAGAAAGAAATCTGGGTAAGAATCTATAATAAGTCGGTTCTCTGTCTACGGCGTAAGTTCAATAGCATTCTCAGACTTCTAAAAAATAGTTTTTTTAATTATTTATATTCATTTTGAACAATTAAGTGAACAAATTTAAAAATAGTTCCCAATTTATGTGCTAATATCTATAACTTGATTGAAAGTAAATATTTGGATCCTAGGCCGCCGACATGATTCTTCTGGATGATAACTTCGCGTCTATTGTCACTGGCGTTGAAGAAGGCCGCCTGATCTTCGACAACCTGAAGAAATCCATCGCGTACACCCTCACGTCCAACATCCCTGAGATCTCGCCCTTCCTCGCCTTTATCCTGTGTGACATTCCCTTACCACTTGGCACTGTTACCATCCTTTGCATCGATCTTGGAACTGACATGGTAAGTTCGACCTTATAGCTGTTCAGTTAGGGTCTATTAGGAACTTTACAATACGACATCGTTTCGTTTTACAGATTTCAGAGCATCTAAATAAAGTTGCCCTCAAGTTATTAATTTATTTTGTTTTGTAATAAAGGAACGATATCGTATTTGTAAAAATACGAAATAAATATTGAAATAGAATTTTCTTCTTAAACAAGACAAATTAAGTGTTCTATTCTCAGCTGTTACTCTGTGTATTCTAGTAAATACTATGAAAATACTTTTAAATAGAAAATCATTTATATCAACATATATACACACACTGACAGCTTGGAAATAATATTTTCCTTAGAAATTTCAGCTGTGGAGATATCTACATAGGTAATAGTTATAAAAATACCAATATAAGTGATTGACATTAGGTGCCAGCGATTGCACTGGCGTACGAGTCTGCTGAGGCCGATATTATGAAACGACCACCCAGGAACCCATTTTGCGACAAACTTGTCAACGAGAGGTCTCTATTACGTGTAGCATTGTATTGCCAAATTATAATCCTAACTGGTTTCAGCTAATAACATGTTGTTTCGATATCGTGACGAGTGGTGTTTCTCTAATAGAACGTAACGTAATTTTATGTAATCATAATTGTCAGGTTTACCATGAAATGGCGTCCTAAAGTTTGATAACCATATTTCATGTTTGTTGAAATGCGTGAAATATTTTTATTAAGATTAAGGCCGTAATAGCTCTATTTCATTCCTTATAATACACTTCCTGGACGAGTCGACCGGTAGTGGCTGAAGTTATATATACTATTTTTGAATTTTGACTTTGTGAAAATTTGGACAAAATTTCATGGTAGATAGGAATTCTTTAGCGTCGTCACAAACACAAAACGTCGTCACAAACAAAAACGTATTAACTAGTTTAATTAGGACATTTTATCCTGTATTTTAAACGAAATAATTTTAGGTATAAATTTAATTATTTTTGATTTATCGGAGTTATTAATTTATTAACAGTAATATGTAACGCTTTGTAAAGAAAAAAAGTGATGTATGAAAATAGAGAAAGTTCGTGACCACGTTAAAGTTGTTATGAATCTGAAGACTCTTATGGTGGTGTAAGATAGCTATAACAGAATTAATGTGTTATGATGTTTTGAATTGTAGTATCATGCAGGCGATTTAACAAACAATCTACTAATACAGCATCTGGATATTAAATGTGATATGTAAACATGCCTAAGAGGTGTCCTAGTTTAGAAGTTTAATAATTGTATGTGTTTTCATTTAGCTTTTACATATACCTAATGGTGACGAGCGTAATAGTACAAAGAAGTGGTGCCCCGTACAGGTTAACGTAGTGCGCTCTACAAATTAGACAGACACAGCACACTGATGTAATCACAGTCACCGTCATACCATTACCATTGTCATTCGTTCAGTTGAAACGTTCATCAATGTGCGCCCATTGTAAAGTCCCGAGATGGAAATGTCCATTCATTCATTTGATTGAACTTGCGTTCCACATTACAATAACGTCCCATACCTGCCACTATGAAGTCATCCCATGAACTACATTTTTATGTGTTATCGATTATTTATTTTCTATAACATAGTTTTAAGCGTTACAAGTAGTTGCAAGCATGCGCCGAAATCTACATTGGTATGTTCAAGATTCAAATGGAAGTAGTGGCGTCTGATTGCAATTGGCTTGCTAAATGTTGGATGTTGTACACATGTGATAATAATGCACACGCTTTGTTGGAGCGCGAGACGTGAGCGCCGCTGCGGGCGCGCGGTCGTCGTCCGCCGTCCGCCGTCCGCCGTCCGCCGTCCGCTCATATCGCTAGTGTTTGTGTAGGTGCCCGCCATTTCCCTGGCCTACGAGGAGGCCGAATCTGACATAATGAAGCGACAGCCGCGTAATCCTTTCACTGATAAACTCGTTAACGAGAGGTAAAACATTACGAGTGGCATCCACACTCGTTCAAAGATATTATTCTATCCGCTAATTGCTTGCTACCACGTGTAAGTTAGTCTTCAATATTAAAGTTTGGTTGTTGCCTGCGTGTGTGGACGCGTGTCCTGTAGGTACACGACTCACTCTCTATGTGTATATTGAAGGCGACGATCGCACCGCTCCTAACTTATGCCTTGCGTTGTCTTTTGATACATTTTTCTATACTAACAAATCTCCTTTCCTTTAACGTATTTAGATTGATGTCTTTATGGAGTAATGCGTTGTGACGATGTGGCATTCAAACGCATTGTTCCATTTTGTGGATTTATTGGTAATTTAAATGTCTTGTGAGTGGTTGTTTGAAAGGTAAGTGTTCGGTGTCTCTCTGTCTCTGTCATTTGTCTATCGTGCATGTATACCTATGAAATTTACATTCTATTATGTATACTAATAAAATAATATTGTAAATATTCAATTTGTATTGGCTTAAAAATATTTCCATAATCAAAATTTGAATTGACGGAATCCCTTATTTTATTAGTATTACATTGTTTTTTTTAATTCTGATTATATTGTTTATCCTATATTAAGTTGTATCTCATTTCTTACCTCTCATATCTCCATGTATACCATGACACACTATTATTTATTTAACACAAAATATCGCCATCATTCAGTTTACTTAACTATTCCACAAGCTTCACCACAACACAGTTTCGTATATTTTACTGTTAGGCTAATTTCATCTATTTTCTAGGTAACAGCTACACAAATTTGTATTATACATACTACATATTTATAAAAAAATATGTTATTTAAGCGCTGCTAACCTTTATTTGTAACTTCTATCACTAGCGTAGTGTTTCTTTATTAAATTTTGTACTAAGATTCTTATTAAGAAAGGTAAAGTTATCTTAATTTTAAAATTTAATCACGCCACTTTTTCTATTTTTATATCTATAGCTAATTTATGCGTAATAAATAAGTAAATCAATAACTAGTATTAATGCTAACTTTTAAAATTGTTTCCTGATATCGCTAGCCTGTAGTGCGTTGTACATGCGGCAATGCCGGTCGACGTGTGTACGTATATTTATTATGTATAAGCCGCGGGTGCGCCGTCGTGTGCGTGTGTTGGTTTGTCCTGATTGCTTGGTGTTACCGAAGGTGCCTGCTATATCATTGGCGTACGAGGCGCCCGAGTCTGATATCATGAAGCGGCAGCCGCGGGACCCTTACCGCGACAACCTCGTCAACAGAAGGTTCGCCCCGCCGCGCTCGCGCGTCGCCACGCTTCTAGTTACTGATATGGGTGTCAACACTTTGTTAGCCCACTTTCAAGTAACGTCGCGATAAATACCAGAAACTCAATGCTAATTTGACAGTGAACACCCTATTTTAATTAATGCATGCATTTGTTTCGTACTGGTAACACAGGTGATTTTTATTTGGGTCTCACTGGCGAATTCGCTTTGCAACAGTTACTGCGTATTTAAAGTGATGCCTGAAGCCATATTCACTGTTCAAGGGATGATCAAATTAATTTTGAACAGTGAGGCTACCCGTATTGTCTGACGTTTAACAACAGTTTAATATACTGGATGTGGAAGAGTGATAATAATATAAAAACACAGCACTAAGCAATTGGCTATTTTAATGAATATTGAAACAAATTTATTTCGTAGTAAACTACCAACTGCCTACTTTATTATAATATAGTATTTTTAAATACAAAATAAATATACAAATAAATAGCATATATTATTATATTAAACGCTAAACGAAAGCTTTTATAACTTATAAATTTATTATAGATTTCTAAATATTGCATAGAAGTCTATTTTTTTAAACCATAGATTTAGAGCAGCTTAGTTATCTTTGTTCTACTTCTTTGATCTTCACTCTTCCATGTTTCAAAATTAGTAAAAAAATCTACAATGTAATTGAAATGCACGTTAGTGAACATATTAGAGGTTCGTGTAGTCTTCGCAATAGACAACGCACTAGTGGATTAATTTGTGTGACGTGTCGTAATAGTCTGTAGATCCATAGTAAAAATAAACATTACGGAATGATTTAGGTGACATGGAGCATTAGAATAGTTCTTCGTTATTATTTGGAGCGGTATTTATATTACTTTTATTGTATTATAGTATTTATTTCTCTTAATATGTATATATCTATATATTATATTTATATAGTATGTAGCACGTTGCTGATGTGCCAATTTATCACTCGCTACCTACGATAGCTTCCACGCCTCACACACAACATGTAGGGCTCTTTTTATTTAAGTTACCTTACTATTGACTTATCTATTCCAATATTTTATGCCTGTAATTTATTTATCACATTAGAAATGTAATTTATTTCCATTCCACTAATACCACAGACATAGGTGTATAGACGCAATTTACATCTAGTTTGCTGCGTTGTTTTTATTCAAAGTAATCGCATATGCGATCTACTTGAACTTGTACTAAATTGCTACTGGGAATTTCTACATTTAATTTTTTTTAATGTAGTTTCCACATATAAAGATTTTTAAAAGATTGTAATGTGCAAACAGCGAAAGTTTCCTTACTTTGCTGTCTATAAAATTATTTTGTAAGTTTAGTAGACAAATTGTGTCGTGTATCTTTATATTAATGTAATCAAGACTGTGTCTGTGGACTAAATAAATACGTAATTTTTCTATAAATTATGTGGAAATGATTACGTTTTTAATGAGCTTTGCTAGTAACCCCTACTTACATTGCTATGAACATGCTTTCTTCTTCCTGCCAATCTGCATGCTGGGTGTTCTAGGTAAGTATAATGTACCCCTGATCATTTCCATAGCTAATATGAAAACCAAAACATAGAAATTTATTTTTGAATGTTATCTTTCATAATTACTAAGTCTGACGCAGTTGTTATATCAAAATTTTATATTTATATTTATTTTTTATGCAAGACTAATTATTCTAATGATTCTTGATGAGTGTAATCATAATATAATTAGAGACCTTACATAAATTGGTGTCATTGAACTTATTACTTATTAGAATAATACTTATTAGATTTAAATAAAATTTAATTTTTTTTTGCAATCTAATTTTTATTGAAGTATTTAATCTAAAATTCAGCTAACTGCTTCGACTTCGTAATTAGTTTCCATTTTGTAACTTTTATGTATGCTGTATACGATCGCAATAATAAATATTCGTACTGTTGTATTATATATACATTCAGAAAAGTTTGCAACTTCCATTTGGTTTTCATTGAGGCAAAGATATAAATATATGACAAACTAATCTATTGAATTATTTGATTGAATTATTCATTGTAGATTCACACTACTGATCAGTATTAGAATCAAAAATGTAATTATATTATTCATTAAACTTATATTAGTTCTACTGATGCCTATGTACAATCATAGTATTAGATATGCACTTTCAGAGATGAAATCCATCTCTTCTGACATTGGAATCGTTTAGAATATACGCTTCTCTATAAATATCTCTAATTTAATTTAATATTTAGGTGGAATTGTACATATTATGTTAACGAGACATTTGTTCAAATATTATTTTCGAGCTCCCGATATATCGACGTTACACAGTTTTTGATTTAAATTGTCTACTCGTGAAGAACAGCGTGTTCATTCATAGTAAAACCGTTCTATTCGGACCTAAGTGAACTAATTAATAATTTAAATATATTTATATATATAATAAATAAGTAAAAATCATTTTAATCTTTACAGTTGATGTCTGTCCTGAGAATAAAGATTTAACCTGTATGCCAAATTGAACTAAAGTTTTAGAGATATGTATAGACATAGTACTTAATCGATTTCAATGTCTCTAAATCGTTACTCTTATGTTTAAAGTACAATAATTGTGACTGATCAGTAACTTATGCAAAGTCAACATAGTCCTATCAACAGAATTGCACGAATTTGCTTAAAATTAAAATACACCGTGCATTGTTTAATTGATTTTCAACAATAACACACCAGTAAATAATTCACTTTCCTACATCATTTGAAGTTCTCATTTGACACAAGCTGTTGGATTTGACAGGCTTATCTCGATGGCCTATGGGCAAATCGGTATGATCCAAGCCGCCGCCGGCTTCTTCGTCTACTTCGTGATAATGGCTGAGAACGGTTTCCTGCCGCTTAAACTGTTCGGCATCAGGAAGCAATGGGACTCGAAGGCAATCAACGACTTGACCGACTCCTATGGACAGGAATGGGTATGTATTCAATGTTAAAGTGAACATGTTAATGTTAGAACTTCTAAAATGTTACATTTACATTATTGTATAGTAATACTAACAGTTTTGTAAATAAAAAAACAAATGGTATACACTTAAACGGCTTATACTTTACTTTTTTTACTATTAATAAATCATAATCAAAACAACAAATTCTTATCATCTCCAGACTTACCGGGACCGAAAAGCCCTCGAGTTCACGTGCCACACCGCTTTCTTCGTGTCGATCGTCGTGGTGCAGTGGGCCGATCTGATAATATGCAAGACCCGACGCAATTCCATCATCCACCAAGGCATGCGCAACTGGGCACTTAACTTTGGCCTTATCTTTGAAACCGCTCTGGCCGCCTTCCTGTCCTATACACCTGGAATGGACAAAGGCCTCAGGATGTATCCACTCAAGTGAGTATCCGTCTAATAAAACAAAACTTAATATTTTCAATTATCTAAAGGCAATTATGACCAGTGGTAACAGTACTACGTGAAGGCATAGAGCTAGATAATATTTCAAAGGATATACTAGGTAATTTCACTCGATCCTCTACCCTACTTGATTTACTCATTTTTGTCTTTTGTCTCCAGGTTCGTGTGGTGGTTGCCCGCTATTCCGTTCATGCTTTCCATCTTTATCTACGACGAGATCCGGCGCTTTTACCTGCGCCGCAACCCGGGCGGATGGCTCGAACAAGAGACTTACTATTAAACACCACCGACCACTGTCCACACCGTCGTGCATCACTTAGTTACTGCGTACATAACTACTTCATTTGTGTTCTCATGCCCACAGAGCACATAACCCCTAGAGGTGGCGCGCGGGCGGATGCTTTAGTTATACTGTACAATATATGCATGCAAACATAACTAGGTGATGCGTGAACGATTGTGTCGGTCTCCCGGGACATCAACTGACGAGCGGCCACGCTGCGTCGTGGTCGGCCGCCCGCCGACTCGCCAATATTAACTAGTATAATTAAATTACGTGCGGTACTGGCATGGGTAATTCGCTGTTAGGCGGTATTGAATCGTATGTGTATTGATTTTGAGTAGCAAATATCCAAAGTGTACATTTCAATATCTATATATTGGCGACATCCGTTGATATCTATGCTCGAGTGCCCCGCACATAGCGCTAGATGTCGGATGTTGCCTCTTTGCATGAATATTGTAAATGTATACGGTAAGTGTCGGCCGTGAGTGCGGTTCGCGGCCACTCGCTAGGGGTATGTGGTCTGTGCTCGTACCTGGCGCCAGAGCGGCAGAGGTTGCGATGCCGTTCCGGTATATGTGTAATCGCTGTCGTGTACGCTTCTCACCGCTTGTTACCGCATCGCTCCGCACGGGGCACGTGTGTATGTTGTGTGACGTGCGCGTCCCGCGACACGTGGCCGGGCCTCGCCCGCGGATTCACCAGTATTGTTTTTATGAACTATGTATGTATATATGCACAGTGGAGAATGATGGATATATGTGATGATAAAAAAGATATTATACACAACATTATTTTTAAATCATGAATCATGTTATTTTTGTATTAAAATTGTTTAAAATGTAACTTGAGTATCTCGAATGACTCGTGACAAGTTTATGAATCTCATGGAGTATGTTGAATCTCTGGTTACGTTCGGCGGATGTCTCGCGGGGTGCGCGGCCGCGGCTCAGACAGTCGACTGCAGCTGGCAGCTCACCGTTACCACCACCACCACCACCACCACACTACACCACCACACACATAGTAAGCCCCGGTGATTGACACTCATGACATTATAACATAGAATAAATAATACTAATTAAAAATTTGTTTTTCACATACTTATGTAATAAGTAATAAATGATCGTTTAGCGGTAGTTTATCGTTCGTGACTCGGGTGGGCAAAAGTATGACGCCCGCCGCGCACCGTGCTCGGCGGCCAACGAAAAGCATTTGTTGTAAAATTAACAGTTAAGAAGCCATTATTATTATTATTGTATTTTAAGTAAATTAGATTAAGTTGAATTTTTCGAGTGAATAATGTTTAGTTGATGATTCGATCGGGTGCATGGTGTATGAGAGGTCGATGTGGAGTGCCTGAGTTTTAGTGTACTACTGCTTACTGTTAGGTAGGTAGTTGAAATTTTGATGCCGTATTTTCAATTGTAAACGTAGATAAATAAAGCATACACAGACGCGAACGCTTAGAGGTGGGACCCCGGCGTAGTGTTCGCCGCGGCCCGTACACGTTCATACAGCACTGCCGTCGACTATTGTTCGTTTGTCTCTATATCTGGTCTTTGTGGTCAGTCCCGGCCCACAGCTAGAAAACAGTCCAGAGGGAAAACTAATTAACAGCAAATGTAAAGCCATTATTCCATGAATGAGTGAGTATGGAAAGCGTTATTAATTTCTTGACATGGTTTTAACACTGAAGATTCGGTATTATGGAACCACGATATTATATTTAATTATCAAGATATTGTTATTTAATGAGGATCTTCGCGGATCGTTTTGTAATCTGAAATTACATTATTCATATTTTTGGGATTTTAAATGTGTCATTAATATATTTTATTTTTGTTATGGTGAATAGTAATTCACTTATCAAATTAAGCAAGGTTCTAGGCGCAAATCTGTGAACGAGTGTGTTTGGAGTATGGTTTGACGGCTTTGCTTAGCGTTCCCTCGTGGCTGATTTAGTTCGTGGGTCTTCGGCTGAGTGTTCGCTGGCGGCGCTGGATGCAGCGCTGGCGGCGCTCAGTGGTCTCGCGAGCCGAGTCACGCGACACCGCGCTCGGACACGATGCTTTTCTTTTATAAAAAGAATAATCAGATTATTAGCGAATTTCGTCAAATTTATTAAAATAGGCTGCTCATGATAATTACGTAAGATTTTATTTCTTAATTAAAAGATAATAACAAAATGTAGGAAAGCGTAATTAGAAATTTTTAAAATTATACAGTTATTATAGAGTCATCTTGTTTTAATCACCACTTGGCTCTTCTACGAGAGCGGTCGTAGTTAGGAATAGTATGTGAAGATAGAATGGGACAGTCTCAAAGTGACGTTTTAAAAAAAACGCCGAGATATAAATGCTGGATAAAGCGATCTATGATTCCAAGAATCTGGATCTCTTTGTCATACCTATCATTGTGAAAGAAATTGTAATTTACATCTGGTTACAATAGATAAGATTTTATGAGTTATTGTTTGAAATAAAACTACATATACCTACTTCAACATGTAACATCTTTAAAAAATGTACGCGCTTAATCGCCTGAAAGCATACTTTTCTCTGGGGTTAGTTTGCTATTTTATGTGAAATATCACATATCGTTGTTGGCCAAACGGATGGACGGGACGAGGCTGGACCGACCGGACGGGCGGGACGAGCCGGACGAGCCGGACGGCACGGACGGGGGCGTGGGTAGGGGTGCCGCCATTGCGGCGCCACCGGCCGGATAGAAGGACCAAGTGGAGAGATTCATTTCAATTTTTCGTAACGAATACATATAACATTATAATAATGGTTACAAAAGTAAAATATAACATTATAGCGACTAATAAATCTAAATTATATGAAATGTTTATAGATTTAAATGAAGTTCGTTTCTTTAGGGTGACCTTCTGTGCTTGTTTGATGAGAATGATGTACATCTCACTGACAATAGTCGTTCATGATATATTATTGTAATGATCCGATCTTTGTAAGCGGTTTGTTTAACGTACACTGTAGAACTAACATTGTTTTGCGTTCGACAGTTCTTTACACCGATTCATTTTATAGTATTACTCTGTTGGCTAGGAGCGCTGTAAAAATGTAAGTGTTAATAAAAAAAACATTTTCAAAATATTATTGCAGAGTTTTATTGCTACCTTTTTATTTCCTATTTATTCTCTCTCAAATGCATTTAGATGTATTCAGTAACATACAAAAAATATAGTTCATTAAAAAATAAATCTATTTTAATCATGAGGTGCCTACCCAATATCCTGAATATTTGTAGAGTTGTTAAAGCACCAGAAAAACAAAAATGAAAATCCATTATCACCTTTATTATGCATATTAGTAAAAATCATTAATATTAATTAATCACGATAACAAAACAGTTAACAGCAGTTATAGTTAGTGACCCTCAACTGATGTTAAGGATGATCAACTACTACTTTCAAAATTAGATAAGAGCCGAGGACCTTATCGAGTTGTGCCGTCCACGGTTCATTGTTACTAGGGGCCTCTACCCTGACCAGCTTTGCTAGCCTAGGATGCATCTTACCTGGCTACGCACACTGTTAACTATATTATTCCTAGACCGTCTTATTTTGAATATAATTTTAAACTAACAGGTTCGTAGTAGATAAAAATCTACTAAACTCATTATGAGACTATCAATATTTGATACCAATACATATTGTTAGATATATATTATTTTCTTTTTATGTATCTACTTTTAATATTGGTGCAATAAAGAATTATAAATAAATAAATATTGTCATTTATTCTATGGTACATTAAGCTAATCATAATGTGACCCGAAAAATTACACTATACCAATCTATGTTGTTAGTTATCTGAGTTAAAAAGTATAAAAATATTCTGCGACTCTTAAATCGCATTGGTGATTTTCAGCCGAAGTGATAAAAAATACAGGCAGTAAACTCTTCGGGTACGAAACAGCAGCCACTAACCTACATCATTTGTGACCAAGTCTACGATTTCTCCTGACTTATAACCCGTAAACAAGCCATTTTGCAGAATAAGTTCAAACAATTCGTACATATGGTAAACCCTCCTCGTTTACCATATGTACGAATTGTGTTTGAACTCTTTTTGTCAGATTTCTCTTAGGTACACGATGCCAACCAAGGACGACCTTAGTGGTAGTAATAGAAACATTGTCGGCCAACTTTAAAAATTTTAAATATTAAGAACGAATGTCGACAGTAGGTATTATTCATAGTTCTTTCAAAATTAAATACAAATTGTTTTATTCATGTGCTTTTTAGAATGAACACTGACTGAAAAGTCTTCACTCTTGTGTATGTATAACTCTCGCTTTGGTTAAATCATATTCTTTCAACTCACTGGAAAGGAAGATGCCTATAATTACGAACAGCACCAACAATATCATCAATTGATGCGTGTGGTTCCTCTAAATATGTTTTGAACTTAGATCTCAAGCTTCTCTGCTTTTAATTGTAATTTCACGGCTGTAGGTATTTCAGAATCTGTAACACATCTTACAAAGCAAATTGCTTAGCGTGAATTACAGAGAAAGAGGTACGTAAGCAGACGACTTTTTACAAAGTCTAGATGACCTATTTACAATAAGAATATTAATAATTCTTTTGTTAATGTTAATTATTTATGTAAATAACAAATATAGGTACTAGGTACTTGTTAATGCTATGATAGATTGTTTGAATTTAATAGGTCAGTTTCGACGAATATTTGGTGGACAAATCGTAATGAAGAATTGATTGGATAATAAAGCGAACGACTATAATCTGAAGTACCAAGAGTATGATATAAAAAAACTGTTATCTCTTTCTTAAATAATTGGAATTATAAAGAAGCTGACGACCCACTTGATAGTGAGTGGTGACCGTCGCCTAATTATTTTAAACGCGTCCGTGGTATTTATTATGAATACGTTGAATCCAGTAGACTAAGGTGTACTGTACCCTATAATTTCACTTCCTTATCTCACCCATCAACAGAAACACATTTCTAACGTAGTATATATAGCTGGTTTGCGGCTGAAATAGTTGAAAGTGATAAAAAAACGACTTTTTAACAACGTCTACTTTGATTAGTCTGTCTATGTACCTAAATAGCTCTGATCGAGATTTAATTAAAGTTTAAAATAATAAATTACATAAAGTAATACAATGAAATTTATAAATTCACCTCATTTTTTCAAATATTTCAATATTTATCAATATGCTTATAATAACTTATGTAGCTACAGGTGTATAGCAACAGCAGCAGGTTGAAGTACCTACCTGATTTATTTATTTTATTCATGTGAAGCGCGTTAAAACCACTGAATGCCTACGTGATCTAACAGCAACCCTATTATAATCCTCAGAGGGCACGTGTCGCCCTCGTCCTTGAGGACTACGTTCTATAGCTTTTAAAATACCTATATATTGTACGAAGATACTTATACCACAGAAAGAAAGAGACTCTTCGCCCTATAGCGACACGGAATGTTCCACACGCCCCGCCGTGCCCCTCGCCGACAACGCATGCGCGCATTTGACAGCCGAACCAAGCCTGCACGTCCTAATTTTCTTCAATAATATAACAACATTAAAAATCCGACACGAAATAAAAAGAAAACTCGTGAACGTGCAGTTGCCAACGTATTTATCGTTAAAGAGTACGCGCGAGGCGCAGCAATGCGCGCCGCGGAACTAGGTTGAGCCAGAATGGTGGCTAACATTGGCGTCATCAATCCTACTAATGGTAAACGTTGTAAACATAACTGCGACAATACTAAACACCAAGGATCTATCTTTAATCATATCGATTGTTGTACAGTGGAGGCCACAGCGTATATAAGTGCGGTAGCAGCATTCGCTGGAGTGGTTTTGGTGCTGTTGCTGTTCCTTGGCAGGCGATGGTGCTACTCCGCAGTATTTGGACGCAAGTGCTGCGATGACATCCTCGCGGTAAACGCGCGCGTTGCAGCTCCGACCAACCATTGTCTACCACTTGACAATGCTAAGTTTGGTTAGTAATGTAGTTGTAATATTCCACAATCTCATATTTAATGTCACTTTTATGGGGGCTAGCCCCCTTGCGTTCTGGGTATATAGTTTACTTGTACTTCACATAAACTAATTGAGATTTCAAATTTGATAACAATATTAAGTAGGTATATATTATATATATATATATATATATTGTATAGTCTGTCCGTACACTGAATCATAAATGCGACATTTGTAATGCTTCTATGATTATTTTGATAAAATGCAATAATGATATTAAAAATATGATGTCATTTTTAAAAAGCTTTTGTTAACCTACTACTAAATAAGGACTTACTTAAAAAAAGTACAAAGTTTACAATCACCCTGGCTAGACGGCTTATTATTCGTCGTTTCGAGTTTTCCTTCTCTTGCTGATAATGTATATCTACCATTTTTTTTCTGTAGTGGTCTCCTGATGATATCATCCAGGAATTTCCCCTAGTTGTCTTTTAAGTTATGAATTTTGGGGGTTAGACGAAGTATGAATACATGACTTCTATACCAGTGGCTGAATATTTTATAAGTATACTGCGTCACCATGTGAATTTACAAACATAAAAGAACATTCAAGGCCATAATTGTAATCTTTACATACAAGTATGTAGATACCTTTTATTGCGTGTTAGTAACATTTAGTGACTAGAATAGATACCTAGCACATACCTACTATTTTATTAATATGTTCGTAGCAATTATGTAGCTTCAAGGGCAGCCAACCAGCCAAGGCGACATAGCCGTGTGCTTATTATGTCCTTTAGCTATTATTCAGTCTGTACGTCTTTATAGAAGACTAAAAATTGTCTAGAAAAACTAATTATCTATAATTTTATATTTTGCTAGATAGTGTAGATAAAGCTTGGTCTTCACTAAATACACTGGGCATTACGTATTACCTATATCGATTGAATTGTCCGTACGTCTGTGTTATAGATGCTTTGTCGAAACCGATCCATTATCCCGAACGCATATTCACATTCGAGGCCTCCGACTCGGACGAGGAGCTGCGTTTGCGCATACAACAGGTGAGATGGCTAGAGACAAGTCAGATTGTTAAAAGTGCATGCCATTTAACTGTAGGCAATATTAACATTATTGATTCATTTAAATGAACGGGTAGGATAATATAATAATATCCTCGATGCTACACTACATTATGCACAAGAAACAAACTATTGAAAATTACTAATAATTTGGAAAAACCAAATTATTAGTAATTGTATTAGTAAAATATAAATACCAATTCAGTTTATATTAATAATAAATCGTTTAAGTGACCTCAATGTTTATAAGGGATTTTAATATACCAGGCAGCTCTTTTTTTCAATAGGAAATGCACGTTATAGTACATCAATTTTATTTTTATAATTAGTACTTAGAGAGATTTAATATGACCATATAAGTTATAGAATTAGAAAACATGCTACTGATTGCATGCTGCTTTGGTTTCATCAAATTCGGGCAGATCATTACTTTATGTTTTGGTATACGCAATTGTTTTGTGGAATGCATGACATGATAGCTAGTTATTTTTTTGTCTACATAGAATTTATATACATACGACTTAGGTAATAATAATAATTTCACCTATATATGTATATGTATAGTAATAAATATAATAATAATATTCTGACAATTGGTTTGTATACAGTTACAAGTTACAATTTATTTTAGTACAGAAAAGTAAAGGACCACAAGATAGATTACATGAATGTTTATAATGCAAATTATAAAGAATGTGGATTTAAAATAATTTAATTCCATGTTTATTTAATCAATCAAAATAATGAACAATTATAAATATATAAACTCTATGTAATTCGAAAATAGTGAAAGATTTTTATCCACATTCTAAACAATAGTAGAGTTGTAACTCTCCCACAAACATTTTTCAAACAATTTTCTTTGATACTGACGATTTTTATTCCCAAAATACACAACAAAACAAAAGAACGATAGTGTTGGTTTCAATGTTATAAAAACTTCAATACCTATAATACCCCGTATGCTCATCGCTATTATCCATTTGCCTGGTTATTATTGGTAGGCAATCACAAAGCTATAGGTAGCTAATTCATTCATACTATTATAAAAATATTTCCTCACAAATAATTTCCTGTTGAACACATCATCTCCGTTCCAGGATAAGGAAGAAGTTGTGGAATGTCATTACGAGGAGAAGAACGAAAATATAGCTCCGGCAAAGCTGGAGGTGGACCTGGTAGAAACAGCTCTCCGTGAGACAACGCTGAGGGAGACGAGGATCGACGACGTGATCCCTCAGCGGGCTGAATATATACACACATTAGAGGCGCAGAGTAGCGTGGACAGTGATGTTATAGTTCACAATGTAAATTTACAATGGGTTATCTTTTAAACTTATTTTATTATAGTTTTCAACCGATTATCCAAAATTGATTGGATTTTTTTAGATACGTTACGTATACGTGTTAAGTATCGCCAAGAAAATTTAACGGATTTTAATGATTCTATTGATATCAATGAAGGTTGCTTCCATGTGTAAAATTTACCATTTTGGTTGGGATCAGTTACACCTATGTTTTTTATATTTTTATAATTATAGGACAAAGTAAGTGTTCTTTTCGAAGTTATTCTGACTACAAACTTAATGATTATTTTGCTAAATGTTTCCAGGACACATCTCTTTTGTGTGGAGAAAGCAGCAGCTCTCAAGAACGTGGCTCTGTGGAACTTACACTTTTGTATGACGCACCGGTGCGTAGTATGACAGTCCACATACTGCAGGCGCGGTCGCTGCCTCAAAAAGCTGAAGGGCAGATTCTACAAAGCCAGGTTAGACGTAATATTTGCACAGCGCGAAAAAAATACGGGTTCATTTTTACATATTAATTTAGTATACAGTTTTTCAAAATGTAGATTGTGAATTTAGGAGATAGAAAATTGTACGTACACAAGTATGAAATAAGTTTATTAAGAAAAGATGTATCTCGCGTTGCGTATGGGAATCGACGCTTTTAATAAATGTTTTTCTCTGCCTTATTCTAAATTGTAAAAGAATAATTGAAATACTTCACCCATTGTTAGTAAAATGGTTTATTACCAACCATGTACCCATTCTTTTTACTTATTATTAAATATTTAACCATATAAAAAGAGTATGTGGGTAGTTAACTCGCCTCTAAACTTATGTAATATTATATTATCTATGGCAAAACTAAGCAGTAGGTAAGACGAGAATAATAAGCATCTAATTAACACGAATTCTACTTTTTCAATTTTCAGGTTCGAATCGTACTTCTCCCATTGAAAAAGCAAAAATTTAAGTCCAAAATACGAAATGGTGAAAATCCACAATACATGGAGAGTTTTGTTTTGCATAAAATTAATCCAGGTGAGTATTTGAAATAAATAGGAATTTGCGTTTATATAGCATAGCGTTTCGGATAGGTACACAGGAAATAGAATTAACTAGAAATAATCTGCAAGTAACTTAACCTATTTATTAATATACACCACTAAAAGGATCCCTCGTTTAAACTATTCTGCCAAATTAATTGAACTCAAATACAAACCGCCTCATTTAGACATTTGCAATTTAGTTTTTTTGTATAGTGGTTTCAGAAAAAAAAATTTACATATATTATTTATGTAACAGTAATAACTCTTAACTTTCCTCTAATGCATATTACATAGACTATGATTTAAATTAATTTATTGTATTCTTTAACAGAGGATGTGCATGGCCTTGGTTTGCGTATACGCATTTACGGTTGCGAACGCATGCGCAGACAAAGGCTGCTCGGTGAAGCGGCCGTCAGCTTTGCAACATTAAACTTCGAACTGGAGAACAGTTTGTGGCTACAGTTGATGCCACGACAACATCATCAGCCTGCTTTACAGGTAAAATTAGATCATCCTATGCATTTTCCACTTTTGTCATGGTCATTTGTGATAATATTAATTAAAAGTTGTTAATGCAAATTCACACCATCATCTCGTCAACACCCTGGTGTATACAAAATAATTGCACCTGCGGCATTTCCTACGTGGGATCAAACTGTATTGTGTTGAATACAACACAATTCGACCTAGAGGAGCTATGTAATTTTTTTATCTACATATATAACTATCTATATATACTTTATATTCCATATACAAATTTGCTGGCAATCTTGTCGTCTGATTTATTTGATTGGGTTATAATTTTTATGACATCGATTATAAATATAATATTGATTAATTAATCATACTAACACCCATGGAGCAATATTTTATATTAATTTAATTGTTTGTTTGTTTCTATTATCAGCTACCAAAATTGGATTCAAATCATACAATAACCGGTGTGCTCGCGAGTCCATCGTCGATAGTGACGGTGACGACGCCCAGCGCCGTCGGCCCAGGCACAGGCGAGGCATGCAGCCTCGCTAGATCTGACTCTGCCTCCTCGTGCTGCAGTGCTAGATCCACGCCGGAACTTCTACTGGGCCTGCAGTATAACTCCACAACTGGACATCTCTCTGTTGAGGTATTTCCTTATTTCACAAAAGTAATGTGATGTATTGTGGTCCTTCTTATAATGCTGTTTCTGTTCCTTGTGAGTAGCAAATTTTAAATATTTATGAAACTACCTAACTTTGTGAATTTATACAGCATTTTTATATTAACAATTTTATACTTTATAATACAAAAACAAATGTTAAATAATTTCACAGGTAAATTTTATAAAGAATAAATATCGATGAAACGTACCTCGAGTGTTCTCCTAAAATTTCATATGTGGAACGTTATTGATATTTAAATAATTGCCTGCTTTTAGTTTAGCAAGTTGATCTTAAGACTTTTATCCATCGCTAACTTGATTTAGCGTTCAAAATAGAAGGGCACACTTTTAAATTCACAGCTAGTAATAAATATTAAATCTTTTATATGTGTATTATGCAAATTTCTATTATAGATAGGTATCATACTATACTATGCTATGGCTGGCTCTACATATTATATTTGATAGACTATGGGAGCACAGAGATGTACAAGATGATGATGATCATGAATTTATTCAAAAGGTAATAAAAGGCACACACTTTCGAAAGTTGTCGCCCAACAAGGCGCCGGACACGTACGTGAAGCTGTGCCTCATCAGTTCACTGGGCATGGAGATGGGCCGGTGCAAGTCCACTACGAGGCGCGCTCAATCCAATCCACTCTATAAAGAAGTTTTTATATTCCAGGTGAAAACCGCAATTAAAATACCAAAAATATACGTGTTATCTACAAACAATTCAATTCTTTATTGAACTATTCCGTTTGCTTTTTTTAAATACAAGTAGGTACTTTTAGCGCTTGAAGCAGACGTAGATTTTAACAGCTAATGCGTTACTAAATGATGGTTATATATTTTTTTTTTTAAAGACTGACCGACAATTTTGACTTTGTGATCGTCATCTACAATCGCAAAACAACAATAATCATTTTGATATCATCTAGAGATCAAGGTCTTCAAAACATTAATCCCCACCATTCTACAACTCACCTATAATTTGAGAACGTCAAATAATTATTCATTTCTCACACGACGAGGGTCCCTACCGCCTTCTACCTTGGAAGACGGTTGAGCTCCAGATAGGAGGTTTTCATACAGCCGATTGTAAATGTGCAAACGACATAGATCTGATAAATATTATGTTTAAATATTTAATTGACATCACAAAATTCAAGCATAGTTCTTTGTTACTTAATATAATAATAGATCACTAACTGTTGTGCGTTACCGTCAGGTGGCGTTATTCCAGTTGAGTGAAGTTACTCTAATGGTTTCTGTGTGGTGGCGACGCAGCGTAAAACGCAATGAAATGGTCGGGTGGTTCTCGTTGGGTCACAGCTCCTCCGGCCGCGAGGAAGAGCGCCACTGGCAAGAGCTTTGTGAGCGCCAAGGAGAACAGGTATCATTTGACAGAAAACTATTTGTATTTGTCTGCATAGGTAGCCTCATCTCTGCCGCTGAGGAAGTTATGGTACAGTTCAAACTGACATGACATGAAAAGTACGTCAGCCATCCTGTGTATTTTATCCGATATTGTTTAGAAGACGATGCGACGGTTACCACTATTTGTGGCGGATAGTTTAAGTTTCACCTTGTTTAATATATTGTAAAAAAGTACATTTAAAAAATAACAATTGAACAGGTATGTCAAAATACAGTACAGTTTAAATTCTCCTTCCGACGGTCCACCTGATGGTAAGTGGAAACCATCGCCTTTACATAACAAAACCACGGACATTAAGTCATTACACGTTGCCCATAGTACAACTTTGTAGACAGTAAAAACTGTTATTGCTATTGTAACTGTCATTGGTGTATGTCAGGTTCAACGCTGGCACGTTCTTCTGGACTCCTGACGGTCAGTAACTTAGCGCATGGATGTTGCGCTCGCTTGAATTTCTACCTGGCACCCTGGCCGCACCACTTGGTGCTTTTACGCGGTGACTCCGTCGCGCGTTGCCAAATTCAGCCAGCCTTCAACACTCAAGTGGAGACGCCGATCCATAGTCACAGACTCGACTGCGTCTGCTTGCGTGTGTATCAATGTTTTTGGCCACAAGTACCTACCTACATGATAAATTCTAAGGAACTACATATTAAAAAACGTCTTTTTTAATACAACACAATTGCCATTGACCAAAAAAGTCATTTGTGAGATGATGTAAGAGAGTTTATATTATATTATAATATTGTTATTCGACTTTGGTGTGCGTTGCTTTGATGGTTTTAGCACTGGCACCTGCTTTATCGGATCCATATAAATATATAACTACGTGTATTAATAGCTACATTTATATTTAAACACATGTTTAATACAGACTCCTACATCATATAATATAGATATTGCTTACAGGTTTTATTTTATTAATATTTTTTTGGCATTGTGATATACCTCTTTAATAAAGAAGGGTGAAACAGAGCACACATTCTGACTGATTGAAAGTATGAAAAAAATACAAGATCTATAATTTCTGTTTTATTAAAATTGTAATTCTATTTAATGATAGGTATATTAAATTTAAAAATGTATATTATAATAGAAGTTTTACCGGAATTGTATTTATGTATTTAAATATTCTTATTTCTTAAATTTATAATTTAATAAGTAGATGCTTGACGTTGTACTTTATTTTAATTTTGTCTAATTAACATTTGGATGTTGTAGTAGTAAGTATTTATAATGATGGAGAAGACTTGGAGCGCACAATACAATGTGAGATTAATAAAATTACGATTATATAAGACTACATATATATATCTATATATTGGATATTGATATTTAGTACGTAATATATACAAATTCAAATTATATGCTTATTCTGTTTTTCACGGAAACTGATATTAATTATATAAGATATAGCACACATGTTTATAATTATATACATAATAAAAATAGCACAAATTATATACTAGATACTAATAGATTAAAGGTAGTTCATACATCCTGGTGTCAAGAATATCTGGGTCATCATTATTGTATATTAAAGGCATCTTCGTGTGGCTTCTATATAACATATTATTACCAACTACAAATATATATGTAAAGATTAACATGTACCTATATTTAATTTGATTCAGTGAAACTGGTACTTGCAGTTTAGTTTAATATACATATTTTATCCCATCATAATATTTATATAGGTATTAAATGAAATGGATGCTTATTTATGGTACAAAGTACCTCTTTTTTTGTATTTCTAAGATAAATATTATTATTAATTTTGTTGATATCATTGTTAATAAATATATGAATTGTAGTGGTTTAATGTTATTATTTTTTGTGAATAGATGTAAAATTATTGTTAATAGAGATATTATATTTGCGTGTACTGCTACTGCTAATGACTTGATATTTTTATAATTAATTAATAATTTCTTCATATTTGTGAAATTGTAAAATTCATAGATATGATCTATTAAATGTCTTTTGTTATAGGCTATTAAATGTGTTATGTATATTCTAGATGTGTTAATGCTAAAATCATAACATACCTGTTATGTGAAATTCTAATAATTTCGACGTTGATCAAACTTAAATAATTATATATATTTAGTTAAGTATTTTAGATCTATAATTATAGCGTATGTTGTCGACATTGCTTGAGTTTATATTTTTTATAAAAAAAAACATGATTTCTTATGTAGGTAAACAAAAGAATTATTGATTCAGCTTGCTATATAAATAGATATATGTATAGGCGTGTATCTGCTTACGTATCTGTGAGGAAATATCAATCTATTTATTAATTATAAATAAGTTGTTTCTTTGCTCAATTAAAATAAAAGTTCTTTCCTTATGAATATCAATTATTAACGATAGAATTCAGTAATTTATTTTATATAGAAAATAAAAGATTGTCTGTTTCTGTTTCTAGTAGGGTTGGATGAATAAGATAACTAAATAATAAATTAAATTAATAGTGAGATTACCAGTACCTAACTTTTAATAGAATATCGTTGCCCTTATAGCTATCAAAAATACAGCTACACAAAAAGTACACAATTAATTTGTCAGTTTAGTAGCTAGAAGTGGAGAGACTGAGATATTGTCAATAGTAGCTAATTATTAATGTTTATAAAGTTCACAGAATATACGTATATATATATAGCAACTTTTCTTCGATTTGGATACTAAGTTCGGTCACCCTTAACAATTTTACCTACATTAGGACACAATTAAGAATGGTAGTTTAAAAATGTTTGAAATTGTAATGACAACTACTAGACTACTAGATGTCAATAAATAAATAAATGAAGTGTTTACGTAGATCGGTGACGACTCTACTAGGTAGGTACGGTGGGAGCGGACGCTTGAGTAGGCCTTAATACCTACTCATTTCTAGTGTGAAGTATAAATGGTAAAATGTCACAAATTTATATTCAAAGATACTACTCTAAAAAAGTAGGTGTGTGAAACCGATATTCCTTGAAAATTAAATTATTACATACATTAAATTTTTCTTCAAAATGAACTTTCTTTATCTTACAAAATTTTCTTATCGTCATTCCCCACAATATCACTTTCTCTGTAATATATTACACCACCTGCGTCGTTTGTGTTTCTTGCAGCATGGTAGGCATAGTAGGCTCTCATATATAAAATATTAATATGAAAATATTTGTTAAAATCATATAATCTCACTCGACCTTTTTGGTTGTTTACCGTCTAAATTTTAGTCCAGTATAAGCTTAATCGTTTACAATTTCAAAGATTCTTTATACCGTTTGTAAAATATTACTATTTCCATAAATAAAATAGGTGCTGTCTGATAGTGAACAATTATTTCTTTTATAATACTGTATATTTTTATAATACAATACTTTATCAATAATTCTGTGAATGATATCAACTTGATGCCAAATTAGTACCTGTGAATATTGTAATGTGTATGTAAAGAAAGGCTAATGTTTGATTATGTATAATTGATCACTACAAAAGCATTTTCTTCATACACACTATAGAAATATATTTTGATCAAATTTAATAGTATGTACAGTAAAAACTCTACGTCACTGAGATTCCACTTTAGGTTATTATAGGTATACGGACCATTAGCAAGGTCCAAGTTAGTACATCTATTCATTACAATAGATTTTTTAGTTAAATATTAAAATTTTTTCATATACATATTCTAATCTAATGTACTCTGTTACTTCAAATATCTCTGACACTTTATATACCTAATTACATGATAACTCTTTTTCTCTGATAATTTTTAATTTAAGCCAAATAACTTATAATGTAATATAGACATGCAAGTAAAAATGCCACATCAGTTATTACTAAAAATGATTACTTGTAAAATATACCAATCTATAGCATTTTTCTTGTATTCAATCATGATTTAAGTACTTATATCTTACTAACGTTGTACTCGTGTTTCTATTCGATTTATATTACTACACGCTGCTTAGCGTGTTAACTAATAACTATGTCTGTTAATCTATTCAATAGATTTAAAACTTTTGTCTAATACGAATACAATATTATTATGTTATGTATTTTACATTGCCAGTACCTACCAATACATATTATAAAACATTCTTAATAAAACCACTTTATACATTTTTCCTACATAATGTTTTAATTTAACTTATTTACACAATATATCCTTTAAACTACCTAAATATCTAATTATATAAGCAATTTGCGTTACAAAGAACTGTGAATTGGAATAAATAAAAATTTATATAAAAAAAATTTTGAGTAGTAAAAACTAAAAGCACAGTTTTCAAAAATATTGTAAAAATACATAATATTGGGCAGGTGTTATGTAAAGTCTACTAGATATATAGAATCCAGTTTTCACCGATGCATTGCTATAAGTCTGACTATAAGGAGTATAGGCTTCATTTTACAGTAGAATATTATCTTACTCCGTACTAAGCAAAAGTATCAAATATGTTCTAAACTTTGTTCCTACCCTCTTATTTAATATTATTTGTATAAAACTAACACTAGCTACCTATATAATCATTTCTAGCATGCATTATATTTAAACAAAGCCTAATTAATTATTAATATGTTCATTCGCGTGACAATTGAACACAAGCATATAAAATATACCATTTAATATTAATTTTAACCCACTACAATTATCATGATTCTAGTTCATTATTACTACAGTGGAATATACACCTAGTTACTGTATAGCTAATACAATATCCTCTCGTGAACGACCTGTTGTTGGAAAATAATAAAATATGAAAGGAAATTTCAAAGATTTATTCCGTAAATTCTGTTTGGAAGGCTCATTTGTGGGACTAAAATATTTTTATATATATCCAGATTTTGTGTCAAGGTTGGTAGCCAATTTATATGTTTTATTATAGTCAAATTTTATGATCACTTCACCCATAGAATTCGTATAGGTACCTACTAAATCTTGGAGATTTCAACTACCTAAGTTCTAATAATTGTTTACAGTTGGAAATGTATTTAAAAAAGTTAAGTTATGAAACTTAAATATTAGCACTAAACATATTCGTAGGGAAACTCTCTCAGACCTTGAGTAGTTACTCTTACTCTTTAATAATTACCTATTTTAATAATTTGAAAGTGTAATTTATCTTACTAATACTGTAAACGCGAAAGTTTATCGAGTATAGATGGATGTTTGTTGATGTCCTTCACGCAAAAACTATTAAACGAATTTTAAGGAACCTTTACAACACATCGTTATACATATATAACTATAGTTTATACATCAGAATAATATTTAGGCTATAAATTACACGCGGGAAACCGCGGACACAGCTAGTTATATACACATGGATTATCTTAATCTGTTATCCTTTATTACTCTGTAATTTATGATTGTAGTACAATAAAGAGTTAATAAATAAATCTCTTCTGTATACCCAGATGTTTCTGGATGTTAAACACTGTGCTGACCTTGGGTCTATCGTATCTACTCGTCTACCTGCTGTATCACCGTTTCAATGAGATGCCTACAAGGATAACCATAGAGAATCAATACGAGATGATGGATGACATGCCTTACCCGTCTATTACGATCTGTTCACCAAATCAGATGACCATCAGTTCTATGACACATTTTAACAAGACACTTGTGTATGTTTCTTACATAGTTATAAAGTATATATTGTGGTAATACCTAGGTGTATCTTCGTAGTATACACATAGGTACTACCAAAGAGTGAAATAATAGGTGTAGTGGTTTGCAGTTTCCTCCATCCCTCACACTCTTATAACAAAATCCTCTCTCACTCTTAATATACCTAATATTCGTAGGTATCCTATTGAATACAAACCGATCTAGCTCGACTCTACAGATAGATAGAATGAATGAAAATATGTTTATATGATAAACTGTCCCACTTTAAATAACGTTAAGTTATACAATTTTCAAAGGATTCTAATATGACTTGTTTTTTAAATAATACCTTATATATAAAATTCTCGTGTCACAGTTTTCGTTCCCATACTCCTCCGAAACCGACTTGGCTTGACCGATTCTCATGAAATTTTGTGAGCATATTGAGTACGTCTGATAATCGGCCAACATCTATTTTTCATCCCCTAAATGTTAGGGGTAGTCCACCCGTAAAGTTTTGTTTTATTTTAAGGCAAAACAACGTTTGCCCGGACGGCTAGTGTATAATAAAATATACCTACTTAGTGTTTCCTTCCAGTTTTACTATAAATGTTTTTGTTTAAAGTATTTTAAAAAATTATATTCATTTATAAAAAATATTACATTAATTGCGACAATCGTAAGACAGAAGCATAAATGCTGTCTATTTAAAAAAATCATCAAAGTCAACACTTGTTAGCAGTCGGCGAAGATATTAACTTCAAAGAACACTTAGTTAAATTGACCTCTTTCTTGTCATGTATAGATTTATTTAATTAGCTACTACATTGTAGGCCTAATATCCATTGAAAAAATAACGGATCTTTTGTCACTTTCTACTCTCTAAAATGATTACTCTTTTCGTTATTTTATATATAAAACCGTTTCAGAGATGGTAACGTAACATTTGATTTAGAACATATTCTGCCGCAACTATTGGGATTTTATGCACCTTTACAATTATGGGACGTCCCTGGACTAGAACAGCTGCAGACTGTTATCAACCTTAACAGATACACAGTGAGTTAATCGAGCAATATTTCTTCTTAACAGTAACAGTAAACATGCTGATGGCTCTACTGATAGAAATCTGGAAGCCGTCAGTTATGGAGAGCCATAATGTCGTCGTGTGACGTCCTTAGTACGTCTCATTTGTTGTTACCTCTGTCTACTCTGGTGTTGTAATATTACTGCTATATCTCAACCTTAATCCAGGACATAACAAAGCAAGGACATGATACTGCAAAATATAGACCTAATATGAATTACATATTCTATAATCGACTATAAATGAGAAATACCTTTGTTAGTAGCATAATCGGTTATACCAGAACAAAAACGCTAGCGCCGGTAGGCGCGCTAGGTAACTGATCTGGACGGTTGAGTTAAAAATTCAAAACTGACGCTAATGTGATAATAATGTTATGTAGAAATTGTTAATATTTTGATTTATGGTGCATGTAGGTACAAGTACAATATAGCTACCAAGGCTACAAAGTCCAATTATTCTTTACATTTTTTTTATCTAACTGAAATAGCAAAAAGCTATATAATGGCCCATGTCATGGTAAGTGGCATTCATCGCATATAAGTAATGAAGAAAGTCGAATGATCATGGATGGACATTGTAGACCCTTCATGCATTACCACTTCTAGAGAACTAATGCTCATACGAAACAGTCTCCTTGGTGGCTGATATAGGTGAGACAAAGGTATCCACGTAGAGAATTTTGTACAAAGACTATCTATGTAATAATTGTTTTCGGTAACCTTTGATAATCGTACGTTGTACCATCGCCTATTACAGGTAACTGAAGTAATTAACTCAATGCCACAACGCTGTGATCGATTTTTAAAAATGTGCATATTAGATAGGAAGTTGTATCCTCAGTGTGAAGAACTATTCAGGCCAATCCTCACGATGTACGGACATTGCTGTATCTTCAATAATATATACTACTTCAAGAATCAATTAAGGTAAATTATAAAGTGTATTGCTAGTTCATCATAAAAGAACCAATGATTACGACTAGATAGTTCAAATCAGACTTGAAAGGAGGATTGTCTATTGCCATGCCAGCATTGGTTTAGTAAGTATGTGGTTTTTGTTCGACCTTTCTTTTACACCTTTCTGTTTTCACTTTGTTTCTTTAGTCGCCTCTACGACATCTGGGAATGAATCAGAATGAATTGCCATTTTATAGGTATTCTTACTCAATACGGGAAAAATATTGGTAAAAACTTAATTTGCATTTAAAATAAAATTGTCATTGTGTTGATAATGAAAAATATATATTTAAAATTTGTTCAGTTCGAAAATTAGTTCCGGATATATCTCCTTTCGGCTACTTAAACCTAAATATTTCTACATGCTATTATTGAGACACACAATAAGATTATTCTGATCGCTCTATATTTTCAGGAATGAAAAGGACAATAATATCTACAGGTGGAAAGTGAAATCGTTCGGCGTAATGGAGGCACTGACGGTGGTCGTTGACTACGAGCCTGAAGACGCACTGGATGGCACCATACTCAACGCGGGTTCAATACGGGTCTTTATTTATATGCAATCAAATCAACATCTATTTTTCAGAGAAAGGTGTGTCTGTCTGTTTGTTAGTTACCATTACAGTTTGCACGACAAAACATGAATCAATCGTAAAATCGAATAATCGTTACTTATATCTAAAAAAACAACAAAATAAGTCAGCTATTATACATAAATATAAGATTCTAATACACAGACACATCAGATATAGAAAACAAAAAATAGAGCTTTAAATCTAAACTCTAATAAATGAAAGTAATAAATCATGTATAATTAAGCTGAATAAAAACTTGTGACTGTTGGTTTTACATATTAAGCCTTCCATAAGAGGTTTCAAGCCCGAGGCAAAGGAGCTCGACCCCGATTCCCCAACCTCACGCCCTTACAGGAGGATGCAGAACACTCGAGTCAGTCGATATCCATTGTTGATTAGACTTATTTGAATATATAAATTCATACATATATTTTACAGTAAAACCATTCATTAATAATAAACATAGAGCTTCGATATTGTAGTGCTGTACCTACTACATGTGACTTTTTGTTTTTATTCCTACTTTATGCAAATATCTTTATCAATTCAATTGAAACCGCTTTGTTATTATTTATATATCTATATTAATATTATTTACAGAACAGTAAAACAAAGCAATATTTTGCAGAGATACCTAATGCCAAAAATATTTTATATATATACTATATAAATAAATAGACCCTAAATACTGTTACTCCAAATGGGATAGACAGAGGCATTATTAATTTTCAACATCATGGTGAACACAAAACTTGGTGACACCCATATTTCGCCTGGTATATTTGAATGCTTACATTTGCTATGCTCTAAAAAAAGCGGATTAATTTTTATCGATTCCATTAATAAATAATATAACTTGTACAGTTAATGTTCAACGACATGAACGAGTTTCCAGCTGAAGAAGAAACAAAATTAGTGCATCCATATACAGAGTCGTTCCACGTAATCCAAGCTGCTTATACGTACTGTTCTGAGGATGTTCGCAATTTACCATTTACGAGGTAGGAACCAATAGTGTACATAGATAAATTGATTATTTCGGCAACTTGAACTGAAGACACATCGACTACTTTTTTAAATGGAATATCATGATGAGTTAGGAATTTCATAAGAGGCCAATCTTTTAGAAGGAGCAGTATATGTTTGAAATTCTAATTATATATTTATGTATTTATAATGGCAAACAAGCTGACTGCCCACTTGACTATAAGCGGCAACCGTCGCCTATATACATTGGAGTGTCTGTTTGTAATATTGAAATAACAGTTTTTTACTACATGCCTATGCCTATAAAAAAAAAGTATTTCTATTCCTATGAATAGAAATACGTCTTTTTTTTTCTGAAACTTCCCAATAGTTTCAGAAGTGGGATCAACAAGATCTATATTGGATTCTTGCCACGCCTACAAATGCAAGTAACATTTTTTTTTTTTTTTTCTTTCTCCATAAGAAAAGAAATGGTTTGATGCATGTATATGCACCAAAATAAAATTTTTACAATTTTTGTCTGTCTGTCTGTCTGTTTATTCCGGCTAATCTCTGAAATGGCTGGACCGATTTTTACGTGACTTTTTTTTGGCAGGTAGCTGATGTAATAAGGAGTAACTTAGGCTACTCTTATTTTAGAAAAATAAAGTTAAAGTCCACGCGGACGAAGTCGCGGGAATAGCAAGTTTCATATAAATTTCATAGACTTGAATAGATACTGTAACGACTAAAGTTAATACTTATTAAATTTCTAATCGACCCTCGTAAGGATTTAGACATACCTACATTGTATTCCTAGATAAAATATATCTCTAAATACTTAGAGGGTCGATGAAAAAACACCGCAATATGGTCTTTTCAAATGATAAAAGGAAAATATATCGTATAATAGTATTTTGAAAAATTCTTGTAATGGTAGTAATTTTATTTTGTGTAAATTGATGTTGAGTGCGGAAGTCTGATCACTGCTACTGGGAGCGTTACGGTATTCGGCAAGTAAACTGCGACAATAGAAGTTTTGTTATATAGTTTTATATTTCGAATAAAAAAAAAATGCATCAATCCATTGGGCGTAGTAACGAACGTCCAATCTTAGTGCTGGTACACTTTGAATATGCTTATATTTTAAACAGACTTATGGTATATTCAAAATATTGACTGGTATATTGTATCTTTTGCTAGCGTCAATATATATTTTAAACATTTATATCTTATCTGCGAGGTTATATATAAAATACAAAATTTAACGCAAATATTTATGACACCTACTGAGATGAATAATAGCTCTCCAGTGAATTAATTGGGATAGAAAGTATCGATCTATTGTTTATTTCTCTAAACTACGATTATCTACCGTAGCACGGTTTCTTAAATCAAATTGTAACATATTCTTGTCCTCTAAAAAAATTTAGTATTATGATACTTGCAGTCGTAAATGTTACTTCAACGACGAGCATCACCTGCCATTTTTTGGTGATTATCATAATTCCGACTGCGACCTTTTATGTTACGTGAAAGCAGTGGAAGCCGCCTGCAACTGCATAACTATCAGCTAATACTATGTGCCCGCGCTATATTCTGACCTATTTTACCGTACAAAAAAAAAATATATTTGCAATATCTCTTGCCCTATTTGAGGATATATTATAGATGATCCCCGGCAGGCCTGTAACTTTACAAGTATCTCTTGCATAATGGAAACAAAACGTGAGTAGGTATATATATATATATTGTTTTTCTGTTATTATTTGTTTTTCATTTCTTATCAATGCGTTCTTGGATAATTTGAAATATAATTTTTATTTTTTGACATAATGTAATTATTGACTTAGTAACATTCTTTTTTTATCTTACTAGCTGACCAGGCGTCCCGAATAGCAGAATAAATATTCAAAAAATTAAAGAATCGACTGTTAGGCGTAACGAAATTCGCCGGATCAGCTAGTATAAAATAAAGATGTGATTAATTTTGTAATTTTTAGATTTGTTATATTGTAATCTAAGTGGCAATTTGCTATCTATACATATCTATATATATTATACAACAATTCAAAATTATTATATTACTTACATATCTCTGATGATAAAGCTGTGATAGAGTTTACTTATAATCATAATATAATTAGTATTCTGTTATATATGTTTATTTAACAGTTCACATCTACGAATCGCTTACAACAAAGTTGTTCTTTTGAATGTTTATGAACTTACCAATTAAATGACACACTCATGAGATAATATAAACGAAATATATAGCAACTGCGATTGTCCGAGAGATTGTGACTCTCGCCGCTACACCACTGAAATGACAGTAGGCAACCTGAAAGCTCTTCCGTACTTAGTAACAAATGCATTGTAAGTAAATATGTATAAGGTATATATGTACCTAACAATATAATTTTAATAATGTCTAGTATATAAGTTCATTAGTTAGGTGTTGCTTTTAGCATGGTTACATTTAGACTAACTTTCCCCTATCAAAATATACATGTATTTGGTACTTAGGTACATGAGTACCCCTGGCGCGTCCCTCAAATCAAATCATCATTAACGTAATTTTTTTTGTACTAATACCTATTTATATTTTTCCCTGCCGTCCAGTTCAGTATACATATTCAATTGGGACTGGGAAGAAACTTAACTGAATTTCTATTTTTTTTTTGAAGCCAGTTTACATTATGTACTTATGTAGGTGTCAATGTCTAACATTAAGTGAAAATTCCGTGCACGTTCGTCATTCAAGTAATTGTTTAGCCTGACACACGGCGCATGATGATTCTTCTTCAGGCTACGGGCAATACAAGTAATTTATGAATCTTAATGCGATGGGCTAATTTGTAGAAACCAACGTGAAAAGATAGATATTTTTCAGTTTAATATTTTATGTTTTTTTAACCCTCTCCTACCCATCCCCCTTCTTTCGGCCCGCAGTCCGCCTCTCGCCTCCTAACCTAATGAAACTGATATACTGAACACTTACTGCTTTTGTAATAACAAATTAAATCAAATATATTATTAAATATTACTACTCGATAATACGGAACAACATGGAGGAATGGGATTGTTAGATGATATCCACGTGGTTCCCATAAGTTCATAAAGTTCCTGATAAATTTATCACGGTGGACTAACTGATCTGATCTCATGCTCATCATTGTCAGCCTTCACTGGTGGCCCACCAGCGTAAACCGTTAGCACAACATGGGTACACCATTCCATTATCAATAAAAAAAACGGAATAATATTATCCTCCACAGACAATCCTCTTATGCAGATACCCTATACATTAATTAGTACTCTTTTTCTCTTGCAGTTCCGGTGTAACGTTCAACAGAAGTTCCGCCATTATGCATTTCTACTTTCCAAGTCCGGTATATGTAAAACAGAAGCAGGAGACTGTGATGTCACTTATTAGCTTAGCTTGTAAGTAAATTTATGGATCTGATCGGATCTGCTTTTTATAACATTTACTTTATAAAATTAATAAGCATATTATTACATAATACTGTTGTACTCTGTGCTTAGCAGAATATTGTTACTTCGCAAAACAGAAATTAAAGTCATTGTAGGAACATTTCCAATTAAAATAATTATGTATATTGTTTTAATTTCTACTATCGGCCTATTTTCCATCAACTATTAGAAAATAGGTAACGATAACAGAAATTATTATTTTGACGGCAATTTTTAGTGTGAGTTTGATAATGATTCCACCATAAATGGAACAATTTCTGAGTATAAATACCTAATTTTTAATTTTGTTCGTTAGATCGGAACATTCAAAACTTTTCATATTAATGTTTTAATATTGTAATTGCATTATTTTCAGCAAACCTGGGAGGTGTGTTTGGTTTGTGCCTGGGTTCGAGTGCTATAAGCGTTTTAGAAATATTGTTCTACTCATATAAAGCAATAAATAACTATATTTCAAGAACGAAAGAAATACGCAGAGGTTTACAAACGCAATTGGAAGTATTTGACTATAATTCCTAAACAACCAATAATTTATATACATATATCATGCCTGTCATATAAAATATTGTAGTATAATGATTTTAGCCCTGCACCGTCAAATGTTTGTATGCAGAAAACAAAATTTCCGTTTGTAGTTTTCCTCTACTACTTTTACCTATTCAGTACAGTGGTTCTGCAGCTTGCTACTAATACAGTACTACGTTCAATCTTAGTACACCTACGGTACAACAAAGTTTGTCACGTAAACATATATTACTTGTATAGTGAAAACTACTAGAGGGACACACAAAATAAAACCCAGTTATGAGGTGTATGTAACAAATTTATATTTTCTGATTTACATATATATTTCACTATATATGGCGATAAATTTCAATAATTTTATCAAATATATTGCTTTGCTAATTTTCTTGAAAAAATACAAAAGTATTCTACGATTGCGTTAAGAAAAATCTTCTAGAAAAAATTACATCTCTCTTATTAATCTAGATGTTCATATTATGCATAATATTTCGAATGCGTACTAAGTAAATATAAAAATTGTCGTTTGCACAAACATGGACATTGACGTGACAACTCGTGCTATTGCACCAATCCTTTCGAGTGATGATTATTTCACTATACTAAATAAATACTCTCAGAATTCGTCCTATACAATAATACTTCAAAGTAAATGAAAAGCTAAACAAACCTACAATAACGAAATAAAATGAATTTTTGGCTTAGATTTTAATTACATCTACAATAAAGCATATAACTTAATAATTTGGTCTAAGTTATGAATATTATAATTAAAATGTTAAGTATCCTTATACTAATTATTGCCTTAAACTATTTTACTTTAAATTCCAGTGGTCTCTATAAACACGACCGGCCGACTCATGCCTATATGCGAAAAAATTGTATCTAAAATACAAGGATATAATTAAACTATCATTATCTAATATCGATGATTTTGGACGCTCTACTCTATTCAGTGACTCGATTATCTATTATAATAGACTAATTCAATCTCATCATTGGTATAAATTATTATAAATATGAGCATTTTGAACAGTAATTAGGTAAATATAATATATAACATTGATTATCGAGGTGTACCATATAGCAATAGTATTTTAACCTTATGAAAATGAATTTTTATTTAAATTAATAAAATATTATCCACTAAAATAATACAGCCATTTCAAACTTACTATAACATTTATATTGCTTCTTACTTTTAAAATTTAGCTGGCTCTCGCGAATTAGACTTCAAGTGCAATCGATTTTTAGGTATCGGTCACCATGCACACAGATTAAAAAAACAGTGCTATACAATATGTAATAAGGGAAACGCTGCCGATAACTGCATATATTATATAGAACTTAAATCATACTATGTGAAATTGAAAGTATTGAAACTGTTAAGAATTATAGAGAACAAATAGCGTAAGAACATTTACTGTGCGGCATAATGCCCACAGTTGTGTAGAAAATTTTCTAACATGCTGTGTCGTCATTTTACGAGCTATTACAAAAAAAAACAGTTTCGGCAGCGTTACCTTACACCGAGAATAAACTAAACTGGCGACAATTCATCGATATTCGAAATGTATAATGTTAACAAATGGCATGAGTGAATTAAGCAACCATACCGCCACTCTAGCGGAGTCAATACAAAATCACTGGACGTATCACATAAATCGCTTATCGGTAAAATATTACATACCAGTACGTAATCCAATGGAACGGTAATACGTTACACCAACATTGAGCTAACTTACATTCAATATATTATTCTTTATGTAATATTGCTGTTAATTTATGGTTAACTAATTATATCATACTCGTAACTGTATTCCTGAGAGTAGACGTAGACAATGGCACTATGTTTATTATGACAAGAAACACCGAGGATCATAGTTTATGTGCCAGTTTCACAGTTCCCGTAAGAGATACTTTTACATTACAACTAACGCACCATCTAGTCTAGCCTCGCTAGAATTTAAGCACAACACGAAAATAAATTCCTGAAATGCTTAAAATAAAACTCTGTTTTATTTTTACACATCACAATTATTATTTATGAGGCGAATACAATTTTTATAAAAAATATTTTCGATTAGATAGTAAGGACAGCTTATAAATTGACTTCAGTAGGCTGGCAGCCCTAGGTCGACGCTAAATATTACAATATAAATACAAAGCACATAGTGAGCAAGTAAGTTTCTTATTGTAAACGTTCCTCAATAAATAAATATAGCCGATCGCCTAAGAAAAGGCTGAATACAGAATAGAAAGATAGGGACTATAAAAGAAGTCAAGAGAAACTTCGGCTCGACCGACACAGTACATCGAATAAATAAGTAATCCATGGTATTTGAAGTACAAAACTCAGTTATACCACAGAACACTACATATACAAAGAGTTAACTCAATCTGGAAAGTGTACAAAATTCATATAATTTTTATTAGATCTTTCCAAAATGAGCACTAGCTGAAAAACTTTTACTCTGTATATATGTAATACAGTGTGGTTACACGAACTAGGTTCGATAAGGCCGGCGCGCGTCTGACGCTGACGCCGGCCAACAACCTGCGCAAGGCACGCATTAACTTACTACATAGAATCTTCACGAAGCGCCTTCCCACTGCTCTAGCGGCTCGTGTCTTTGGGCGTTTCATACTATATGCTAATTGATCCACGGAGCGAATCGCCTGTGGGTATATGAATCCATTCAGATATCGATAGGTATCGCTAACGTATCTGTTTTAGAAACGCTGATTTATATTGCTATATGCTTTTTTACGTCATAATTTGACAGAATTAAAAATAACTGTAAAAAGTACATTTTATTTATGTACACAATATTCTAACTAATACTAATAGTAATAAAATTAAATATAACACTAATCCAGCCGATTCGCAGCGCGATCCGAGCGGTCCTAATGCAAAACTACCAAAGACACGTTACGCTGGCGTTCGAACTCACACTGCGACGTCATAGTCTAGGAGCGAGGATTCGAAGTCGAACAGCAGGGAGGCGGCGTCGAGGTAGTCTCAGAGGCTGACGAGGCTGGTGTGTGCGTCGGGCGAGGAGACATCGGGCGCGGCTCGCTGCTGCTGCCCACACGGGTGCGGGTGCGGGTGTACCGGCGTCAGGCCTGTGCCACCCTCCATCAAGCTGTCGAAATTGAACGGGATCCCGTTGCTGGGGGTGGTGATCTCGATGCCGGCCACTGTGTTATTGTTGCCCAACGCTTTCACTTTGTGTGGCTGAAATATGTATACAAATAAATAAATAACCATTCACATATGATACAGCGCCATCTAGTCTTAAAAGTAATGCTTGAAATATGACTACTGGACAATATTTAAAAAGATATTGTAAATATTCATAACCACAAATATTTGTAAGGTACGAGTATCGAATTTGCGACAGTCTAAAAGTGAGGCAGCACTGAAGTAGTAAAATACAAATAAATTTTAGTAGACGATTGAAGATACATTCAACCATACTTGACCCTGATACAATAGGAACCGCCATATGACTGATACCAAATTAAAAATAAGTTTATACTCCAGTAAAAAGACTTTATCAACAAAAAAAATATGACAAGATTATTAACATACCTGTGAAGAATTCGAATGTATGGGCACGTGTAAGAAGCTGGGCCTGGTCGGGCGTGTATTCGCGGGGGGAGTGTCCAGGGTATCTTGCGTCCCACTCGTCACCACGGCTGGATTCGCCGCCGACAGCATTATTCTGCATTTACGGAACATCCATTAGGAACAATCGAGAAGTTTGAGAAAATAAATATATTGAAACTATATCTATTACACAATTACACATTATGACTTCAAATATATTTTCCACGTATACGTAATTTACTATTCTTAGATGTCATTAGATATTGAGTACTATCCAGTGGACGAAAAGTGTATAAAGTATTGTACGTTTCTTTCTATATACATATTGGTTAACTAATAATATTCTCTGACAGTAGATTTATATACCATATAAGAACATACATAACAAAATTTTTACATTTACACAAAATGAACAAAAACTTACTTTTGGTCTGGGATCAGCGATGGGAACATGACATTATCTGACAAGTCAACCGCGGGCTCCATTGTTTCCACTTTAACGCGGACGCCATCTTCTGGGATTTCAGGGTAAAAGTGGTTGTCGTGGAAAGGTTTGACATCCGGTGGACTGATAGGTCTCTTTTTCAAACGACACGATGGAAGGTGCTTGTTTAGGATAATTTGAAGATTTTGGCGGTCAGCGTCTAGTTTGCGAATTTCGTCTTGAAGCGCCTGTTTCTTTTCTTCTAGTTTATCAGTTTCTTCCTGGAGTTCGTTGGTGTGGTCAAGTCTTCGTTTGCGACAGCGGGCGGCGGCCATTTTGTTACGTTCCCGGCGAATTTTCCTACGCTCTTCTTCTTCGGGGGAGAGATCTTGCGGAGCCTTTGTTGGTCTTCTGCCGCCCATGTTTCGTCGCTTCGGCGCTGGTAAGCCGGGGCTGCTGCTACTGTCGCCGCTGGCGGAGAGCGGGCCCGGCGACACATGCAGCGTCGTCGTCGGGCCCGAATCACAGTACCCCACCGAATTCAGGATGCCTGTAGATAACAATATAATGAACATGAAAATAACTAATACATTCATTGCCCACAAACTCACGAGATTTACGAGAGAAGTAAAAAATAAGATGAGGCATGTGCAAGTAATTATAAGCAGTTGTGTCAAAGATTTGATCTTATATTTCATAGGATTTCATTATATGTAATGATAACTTCAAACAATACTTAACTGATTTAAAATATTCTTTCACATATAAAAAGTTATAGTAGTAGTGGGTAATGCTAATATAACTTTTTATGAACTGAATTTCATATAACAAAAAACAAAAGTATCGCCAAAATCATTGTACCAGTGCGACGCCGGGGCTGATCGATGTTATTGACAACAGGTATGGGTACTGACCGTAGTTATTGGCGTGCGTGACTGACGGTGGCACGAAGCCTGCGTGGTTCGCCTGCTCGCTCCGACAGTTGTTCAGCTCTATGTATGTCTGCTCGAAGTTGCGCAGCTGCGTTGGCGTTATGGTGGCCGTGGTGCGCGTCGGTACCCCCGACTGGAGGCCCTCGAGGTTTGCCAACTGGAAACAAAAGCAAACATAAGCAAATTGTTTACTAAGTGCGACTTAATAATGTTTAAGAGATATAGAAGCTTTCACTAAATTTACTATGATATACTTTTTATAATAGAGTTGGGACATGTGTGAATACATAGATAAAAAAGTTTGGTTTATGTTACGTACTGTATGCAATAATTTAGGAAGCCTTTTTATAGAATGGGTTTTTTTAGAGTAAATTATCCTTAACATGTATGTTTAGAATTTAACAATATATGAAGTGATTTATACATAGATAAAATTATTATTATAGCCGATTACTAGTAATGAAATTCCTGAAATATCTTCATTTCGACGACAAATATTATGTTTATTTATTTCAGATATAACTCGAACAAATTGTTTGTTAATTGCAGTATGTAACTATGTATGTATAATTTTGTTTGCAATTATTATGAAATATTTGCTTCTGGCGCGCTGATTGCTTCCACATTCCGATCGTCATTTACAATAAACATTTACATTATACATTATACGGTTTGTATGTTAAACAATAATACAGAAAATATAACTAAGTTATGTGTGATCGATGCGACGTTTATAACAACTTTAATATTCCTTTTATATTAACAATGAATGAGATTGAGGAATTTTTGAAGTCCTTGTATACATTGGCTTGGCGCATTGTTGTATTTATTTTAATGACAATGTCGATATTATATATAATAAGAATGCTTATGAAAACTTGATGTATGTAGTGTGATTTTCATTCATTTAAACACCTACCAAATGTTTATGCACAGACTGTTGGTTTACATAAAGTATATTAAACAGGTAATAATTTAAGTATTATCTATTTATAGTATTTAAAATTAGAATTTCACATATAAACAAGTGGGCAAAGTGCAACGATAGCCGAGCGGCGTGCGAGTTGAAAGCAAATTCATAAATCAGTCATCCTGGGCCATTTTCAATAATAAATTAACCATCACTCCCAAATTGCATGACTTTCATGTAAATATGTAGGAATGTCTAATTAATGTCTAAGAAAGACTAATTGTTATATTTCCCATATTTTATACAAGACAGTGACTAGGGGATGCAGTACCTGTGTACACACAGGTACTGCAATTAAACAGAAATCGAGATTTACTTTCGTATTTGCCGAAAGAAAAAACATATTGCGTACGCTGTACTCAGATTCATTTTGTCCTGTTTTACGCATGGCGCATACCTGGTGGCACCATAGCTCCGTCGCGAGGATGTTGGCGATTTCCAGTGGATCGATATTCTGCATCTTAGCAGTGCTCAGTCAACCACGTTTATAATTAGACGCTTACTCTATTGTATTGCTCTTTTTGCGACGCGACACCTTCGTGCGGTTCGAGTTTGTTAGTCGATTTGTTCGTTATAATCCGCCCTCGCAAAGTACACTGTTAACTGGGGTCGATCCGTCGATGCACCGACCAATAATATATCGGATTTTCGATTTCGATGTAGTGTTGTCGTGTATGTAATCGGTACGGGGCGGATCGGTGGTCGTTAATCGCGACAGTTCGCGTTGTACGTCGTGTGCGCGGGATAGCGGCTCGTTCGTTCGTTGTGCGCGCTTACGCGGCTGCCGCGGCGGTTCGCGCGCTACTGCCGCGCCCGCGCAATCTCGCCCGAATCTTCGCCCACGAGCGACTTCGAATCATTTATTAATAGAATACTCCTCTAACTCCGGAAATATTTCGCGTCATTTCGCATCACATGCGGCGGTTCTAGTTATCTGAGGTAATGGGCGGTAAACTTCTGTTTGGCCATATCGGAAACAAAGACCATCCCTAATACAATACACTACTTTAGAATATAGAAACATAACTAGTTATATGCCGACTTTGTATGTCATACATACGTATAAAGGCACAATCCTACAATTATCTGCTGAACTTCAATTCAAAAATTCAGAGATTTTTGTTAGTGTGTAAGTCACACTCATCTTTGAATATCTTCACATATCATCACGAATATACCACTGTTATTTGATAATATAAATAAAATACCCTTGCCTAACTTAACTATAAACTAGAGTGTTATTCAATTTAAAAGGCAAGAAATTAAAAAGATTTTGTTCAGTAAGCATGATACTCGTAGTTCGATGATGTGGGCGAAATGCTTGGTCGGTCCTTGCTGCAAGGTCGCACTCACGGACCCGTGGGCGCGTCCGCAACTATACAACCTTATTTGGCGCCTGATAAGCTATACAAAGTGTGTCATATACTATATGACTATACTTGAATTTATCGGTAAATGTTGCAATATTGTTTTCCTAACACGTCCAGTGACAAAACAAAAACCATATAGCGATCGCAGAGACAATAAACCAATAGTTGCCTGTTTTATGGGGATGTGTCTAACTTGTTTGTCGTTAATGATGGACTAGTTTGCAATTTTGTCGCTATGTGAACCTGACGAAATCACAAAAGAAAATTATGTCATTTGGACTCGAGACTTCAGAATTACTGTTAATCGAAAAGGCCCCTAATATTATTTAAATTTAAGCTTTCAATTATGCGTAAGTTCAATAAACTTTAAGAATGAACAGTACTAAATAAAATTAATTAGTTTAGTTTAAACTATACAATTTACTGACTGCAGTGTGTAAACAAGGAAAACTGACACTGGAACATTTGTAGGCACACATATAATAGTACCTATATAATGAAGATGTTATGATGACTAGTATAATTTCCTCTGTGAATTATATGATCACAAAGGGGACAAAGGCGGCAGACGGGTCCGGAAGGCGCTGTGGCCGGTCAATTACCACAATTGCTTAAATGAAATTCGTCTCGAATGCGCGTTGCGCTTGCGCCGGCCTGCCCGCACCACGTACGTTAATTGGTCACGGTGCTTACCTAACAATTAACTGATAGTTTATTATCGCTATCTCGCATTCTTGCTCGTTATCAATAATACCATACAAATTGCGTCCACGACTTAAAGCTTTTAAAGTATTTTAAAGGGAGAAATGAGTTACCTAATAGTTATAAAACTCTGAATCCGGAATTAGACCATGTGGAAATCACGGAAAGTTGTACGTCGAACTGCACATTTAGTGCAGTTCAACGTTAAAAATTAAAACCTTTAATTTTTAAATGCCTTGGTTATAGAGTTTGGACACAAATATAATTTAGCTTAGGACAACCAAAATCTTAATAGGGAGCAAACAGAAATAGACTGTTATTTTACTATAGGTATTAGTTATCAGACATAACATATTCTAGTTCTAGTCATGTTAAAATTAATAAAAAAAAATACATTCAAGTACATAGTAATTAATGTTGCAAATATGCTATAATATCTATAAAAAGAAATAACAAGAAGTGAACCCAATGGTAGAGAGATCCCACAATCACTCATAGCTGGCTCACTACTCCGCTAACTGCTTGTTCGACGTCGCTTATCGAGCCGCGTGGTAGGACGACCATGAGATCACCACTATATGTAGTTGTGACGTAAATAATATGTACTTGATGTACCGCGTGAGTGCTGCGGTAATGGCATCGCTTTTTGTAAACGATGCAATAAGTTTTTATTGTTATTTCATGTGCGACAAGCGTCTGTTGCCAAGAACCAAAAAAAAACGAGACAGTTAAAAATCACAGTTTTAATTTCAATATCTATTCAAGTACATGTGTGTAAAAAATAATTGAAATATTTATTAATGATTGCATTCTGTTGTAACTTATTTTATGTTAATGTTACTATACTATTTTTAACCTGCAGTTTATTTGCTAAAAAAAATCTCCCTAGACACCATTCAAACTGTTATTACTTCCCTCGCTCATACTATATTCGAATTGTCTGTATAAATTTCCAATTACACCGATGGTAACCGAACCTAAGATTAGCGAATTTATCTAACTGTGCTTGAAAAATCATTTAGCCAGAGGTAGCATTTAACTTGTTATCATAAATCTGTTATTCATAGAAATACTTTTTCCTTATTGAGAAAACTAGTGTTTTCATAATATTACCGATATGGGCCTATAGTAGCACGTGCGTAGTTACAATCAAATATACATATTACATACACATGGATATATAAACAAGCAACTAGGTCCAGAATATGTTTATTACATATATGTAACGTGCAACATAATGGTGCAGGATTGTAATATGGCATGCTTGTGCGTAGCACCTGCAGATTTAGGAGATAAGGCTTACTAAATTAGACCAATAGATAAAGTTTGTACCTATCAGAATTTTGATATCGTTATATTTTTAACATGTCTATAATCAGTACCGAAGGGTGAAAGGCCTTTACAGCCATCATATCTATTTCATATTTATATCAGTACATAATAATCGTCAAAGTAGAAAACTATGTATCTCTTATTATTAAAATTCATTTTACAGAATTGGATAATTAATTTCAATTCAGATATTTAAGTAAATATTATATTACATATTTAATAACAATTATTAAATTTGATATCAAAATTTGAAAGAGAAACATTTTAATCATCACACTAGTGGTCTCTTTAGTTATTAGGCTATCAGCCAATGTTTACATTTCTTTGAAAAGTACACTTTCCACTCTTGCTAATGTACTGTTACATCACGACATAATTTTAGCACTGTACAATTCTCGGCTTTCCAGGAACAACATCTGATAATCCAAATTCGACAATCGACCAAACCAAAACTGTTTACTCGAACTCGAAATAATGTATAAAATATAAAACATGTTTACAACTGTGATCAAAGTTTATTAATAGTGAGCAGTTAAATATTGATAAGTTACATTTTAATGTGTCAAAGTCTAAAGGGCGCGTTGTACAAATAATTAAATAAATTGAAACAAGCTGAAACGCTGTCAGACATGTAATTTCATAAAATTTTAAAAATCATTCTAAATTTTAGATTATTATATATATATATATATATATAAATACCTATATAGGTAAATGGACTGCTAAAAACTTTTCCTTTAGTCTCTACCGTGGTCGGGTAAAGAGATTACTCATTACACGTGC